CTGCTGTCTCAGGGAATTAGTTAATACTTGTTCTGTGTGTCCTAATTTGTCTCCAGCTGAACTCCATGATTGTTCTATCTGTGTTTGTTTGTTTGTTCAGTGATCAGGAAGATACAGAATTTGGAGACTGTACTATTCTGATTGAAGATGACGCGATAACAGCATCCCAGCAGGTAAAAATCTTCTCGATAACTTAAGAGTTGATATGCATAACTTAATTGATAACTTAAGAGCATAACTTAATTGATAATTGATAACTTAAGAGTTGATACCCAATTGGAATAAACTGAACACCCTTGATAAATAAGAATATCTTGCAACTGATTAAAACTAAACTGATATATCGCCCGGCGGGGATTGGGCAGGTTTACAAGTTTGAAGCTATATATCGTAAAAATTTGGATATATCAACAAAGTTGAAATGGTAAATTGGCCACCGTAACGATTACAAAAGCTGACATTTCGAGCGTTAGCCCTTCGTCGGAGCGAATAGAGGAATTGTGGGTTGTGTGTGCTTTTAAAGGCAGAAAATGGAGCTACGTTATTCCCACCAATAACGTAGCTCCATTTTCTGCCTTTAAAAGCACACAATTCCTCTATTCGCTCCGACGAAGGGCTAACGCTCGAAATGTCAGCTTTTGTAATCGTTACGGTGGCCAATTTACCATTTCAACTTTGTTGATATATCCAAATTTTTACGATATATAGCTTCAAACTTGTAAACCTGCCCAATCCCCGCCGGGCGATATATCAGTTTAGTTTTAATCAGTTGCAAGATATTCTTATTTATCAAGGGTGTTCAGTTTATTCCAATTGGGTATCAACTCTTAAGTTATCAATTATCAATTAAGTTATGCTCTTAAGTTATCAATTAAGTTATGCATATCAACTCTTAAGTTATCGAGAAGATTTTTACCTGCTGGGATGCTGTTATCGCGTCATCTTCAATCAGAATAGTACAGTCTCCAAATTCTGTATCTTCCTGATCACTGAACAAACAAACAAACACAGATGGAACAATCATGGAGTTCAGCTGGAGACAAATTAGGACACACAGAACAAGTATTAACTAATTCCCTGAGACAGCAGTCCACATCCCAGAGGCACATTGACAAAGCCTTTGCTTTAAAGCGCAGTTAAGTAAGTACAAAGAAAATTAATAAGAAAATATTATTTTACCCTCAAGAAAATAGACCTAATTTCACAAAAGGTTTTGCGCTTCGGCCGATTTTGAAAGTGAGAGTTCTCAGCACTTGGAAATGGTTTATAGTCACACAAAAAAATATCAGAACCAAAGGAGTGACCGCACACGTTATACCATTCGTGACAGTCGAGTTCCACTCAGCACATTGCTCGAACGACTGATCGGGAATTGTGCAGAAATGTTGCGCTACGCGTAAGGAAGTAAGAAAACATCTTTATCTTCATTGAAAGTTGAATTACACAAACGTTCTCACCTGTTATCACTGCTCACTGTACCACTTCCTTCAACTTTATCAACAGGGTGCGAGACAGCGATACTGGAAGACAGCGGCTTCACTCTATTTGGAGCAAGTTCTGTTTTACTTCCCTGTGTATGTAGTTCATCTATCAAAGACAAAGCAACTTGGTAGCTGATACAGATATACCCTTCTAAAAGGGTCACGTTACTGATAAAATTGTACAACTATCGTTAACGCTGCCTTACTTGAATGTGTGTAATCATAGATCTCTATAAGCTTCAAGATCATTTTCTTCTTCGGGAGAGCACGAACACCAAACTTGTGCAGCTCACTCTACAAAACAAAAATGTAAAAGTCACTGAAAACATAACTATTATCAGTAAGATTGCATTCTTTTTTACTTTCTTTATTAAAATAATCTGACGGTCTCACCCCGTTAGAGCCAGTGACAGAATCAAAGCTCACTGGTGAAATAAATGTTAAACATTATCCAACATCTGTGTTAAATATGTTGTTATTGCTGTCCGAGCCACTCAACATTATTTTGTCAGTTAATGGTAGTGTATTGATCTAAGTTCTTACCTTCAACACTGGAGTTGCCATCTCGATGTAGTTCGGCATTGGTGTTACTGGTTGTTTCGCCTTCTCTTCTACCTGCTTGATTGACTGAATGTGTGACTTTTTCCGACGCTTTGACGGAGCTCCATCATCTTCACTGCTACCATCACTGTCCTGGACTTTTCGTTGACTTGAGGGAGCTTTCCTTTTACCTTTATTTGTCGCTGCAGCATTCACTTGCGACGGCAAAACATTGTGTTTCTCTATATCTTTATTGCAATGGCGTTTCACCGTTGCTGCTACATCACTATCAACATTGAAAACCTCAAGTTTGTTTAATCCGTCAATATCAACATTAAAGCCCCCATCGTCATAGAAATCAAACTCGTCACCAAGTGAAATGCCTTCTACTTGCTGTTTCCTTTTAGCTGTGGAGTTCATATCTTGCCCATAACCGCTGTTATCTTCATTTCGGGTACAACTATCACTTCTGTCTGTATCACTGTCACCTTCATCATCATCGCTGATACAGAACCTTTTAATTCCACCAACACGCGCGGCTTTTAATCTCTCCTTCAGTGGTACGTTAAGATCAATCTTTACCACTCCTGCCTTTCGTGGGTTATCGTTGTCATCTGAATTCTGTTCGAACTCCAATTTCTTCACCGAGTGGTTCCTCTCATATTCTGAATGCCGCCTCGGCGCACGATGCGAGCTGAATGAACAAACCGAAGGCGACTCTGAAGATTGAGACGGCGGACTAGAACCCATTCCTCTTGTGGCTGGAGGTGACTTCCAATCAACTGGAAGACTGGGCGAGTCAAGATCGGGTGATAAAGCAATCTGTTGTGATGGAGGGGAAGTATAAGGTACTGGGGAGTTTGGAGGCAAAACAGCATCAAAGAAATCATTGCTCGGCGAGGGGATTGGTAGCGACATAAAGTGACCAGGAGATGTGGTTGACAGAGGAAAGTCTCGGTTGATGCCAAGAACTTGTATAACATCCCCGCTAGATTCTACGTTTTCACAATTGAGATGTTCTCTGGAATATAATTCATTTGCCCTTGAAATACCCTTTCTATCTGAAGGACAGGCCAATTTTTCTGGTGATTTCTTAGAGGTTTCAGAAATCTGCACTACGTAATCGTCTAAAGATGGGGAAACAGGAGGAGGATTTCCAACCTCGATTACTTCTGATATATAATCTTCGTTCAGATTTCTAGGCGAGCAACTTCTGTTCTTAGAGCCTCTAGGGGATTTTGAACCCCGACGGGGTGTTCGCATTGGGGAACCACTGGCGGACGTGCGACCCCTCGGGGTCATTCGTGTTGGTGAAACATTACGAGTTTCAACGTTTCCTGATAATTTTGTCGGTTCACGTAGGTTGTCTTGTTTCCCACGAGACTCCTCTGAGGTCGTTAATCGCTTGGCTGATATTTCAACCCAAGATTTCTCAGTTACACCATTGTTTCTTGACTTAACTTTCGCTTGCTTCTTTCCTTTGCTACGTTCTGCACGCTGTCTCAGTTTGGACAGAAATTGGTTTGCTTCCTTGTTCCATCGTCGAGGTGATTTGGACGGAGAGGAACCAGTAACAGTGACCTCGCCTTCTTCACTGACAGAAAGTTTCGATAAGAATTTTGTTGAGGTGCTTCCCCTTCCCTCTCCTCCCCTCCCATGAGGAGTCTCTGGGACGATAGCCATATCAGTTTTTCGCGGAGAAACATCGAGGACCTAGAAAAAAAAAATTATGCACAGACGTGAATGACGAAATTTGTCATAAAAACTTCCAAGAAAGGATGAAATCTACTACCACACAATGTCTTGACGGATTTAAAATTCGTCAAAATCTAATTATCGCTCATTTCTGGTACTCAGCCGCTGCAAAGACAGATTTTATTCGATTGATTGGAATGCAAAGTCAGATGAGGAACATGGTGCTAACGTGCTCTCATCCACTGCACTAAATGTTTTTTCTTCAAAGAGACGCATTTCACTTAGATGATATGATGAAAGCACCAACTGTTCGTTACTGTTATTTCGATGGTTTTTCCTTAAGACAGAAATCTAGCAATCTAGAATTGAAACAACAAACCAAAACTACAAACCTCCTCCTCATAATCACTGATCAATGTCATCGATTCGTTTACATCCATTTCTTCAGTGCTGCCCTCACTTTCCGCATAGTCTGACAAAGGTATTTCCCTTAGGGACCCCTCTAAGTCTTCCTTTTCCCGCCTATCCTCCTCTCCCGGGACAAACACAATTGCACAGCCAGGCTTGTTACAGCTTTCCGCCAAAATGTTAAGATCTTGGCTCGAATTCGGTTGAATTTCGCCTGAAACATCTGTTTCCTTTGCGTCCTCATGATCGACTTGATTTGCATCATTTAACAAATGTACAGACACGTTGTAGATATCGGTATTCTTGGGATAAGTTTCCACATTAATATCAATTTCCAAAGCTTCCTCTGGAAGGTGTGATTCTTCGCTATGATCAAAGGACTGTTCCAATCCCACTTCAAGTGTACAAATCTCTCTTATCCCGTGCGTGTGATCTCCACACTGTACTTCGACATCGTCCGGATTGTTGATCGTTTCTCCGTCTATGGTGCGTTCCTTACTAGAGTCACGTAAAAACGCATCATCCTCAGAAGACTCAGCCGACGCACAGTGATGGTAACGTAGTTTCTGTTCCTCTTTTTCGTTTGGAGGGGTTAGATGTTCCCTCTTGCTACTTGTATTTTCCTCTACTATACGTTCTCTTACATGGGTCCTATTAAACTGGAATTTCTCTCTTTTCTCTTTGTTTCCTGTCTGTTTAACAGGACTACGTGAACAGTCATCCTCTTCAGGAGCATTGCTTGATGCTTTACTTCCTTCAATACGAATACAAGACGGATTACCGTCTTTGATGAGTACTCGCAACTTCTTTTCTGTTCCTTCAGACGCATAAGGATTCGAATCTCTCACAGATATTTCTTCACCAAACTTGTTTCGAAAATTACCAGTCAAACCTGATTCTAACTTGCTTGTCTGCTGTTCATTCAGATTTAATGGATTTTTCGGGGTATCCTTAAATTTTTCACTACCTTCCCTTTGAAGTGATTGAGTTTGGAAGATTATAATTTCTTCGATGTCATCATCGTTTAACTGTTCATTTGTAACTTCCTCTTCATCATCTTGTGGAGTTTGAAAATCCAAGCCAAAATCATTGTCTTGATCCCTTGTCCATAGATCTTGCTCAAATGTTTTCACATCAAGGACAACGCAATCACTAGTGCTATCAGCATCTTCATTTTCTTGCACTTGCTTTAGCCGGAACATGGCGTCCTTACATGCTTTCAGAAGACATCGCAGTTGAAGCCTACAAACAAAAAAACAGTGTAAAACAATTCAAACATTTTGGATACATATTTTCTGTCTTCCTGCCGCTGAAACTGTTTGTCAAAGTACGTTTTAAAATTGTTTACCTTTCAGCTAAAATTGTTATGTCACCCAACTCACAATGCTCAGGGACGATGACGTCACCAGTATACATGTGCCTTAGAGTAACTTCGAAAACAGATTGTTTAACTTCCTCAAACTGTAGATAAAGAAACACTCCATCTTTACATCCAGATCGTTGTTCCTCTAACATCTAAAGAAAAGCAGTAGGTATAGTGAATAAACAGCAAATACAAATGAACACTTTAGTGCAACCTCTCAGGTAAACATGAATTTGTTTGTTCGCTTTGTAAAGAGTAAATGACCTTACACTTGTTAACAACTCTAACACTGAAATGTAAAAATCTTGTATTCTTAAACTAGAAAGAACTCTCTTGCTTAAAATAGTTGTTCATGAAAACAATAGAAATGTGACATGTACCTGTGCGAGAACATTGGATCTGAGGGACAAAATAAAGCTGTGTGCCATCAACTTTTTGCCATCTTTGAGATGAATAACAACATCACTGAGCCATGAGTTGTTTACCATGGATGATAAATCTTCAAGCAATTTTGAAACTCCACTGGGGACCATATGAGTTCCCTAATCAAGAAAGAAAAAAGACTAAGCCACTTTGCCATTAAAATTTTTTTCCTCAAACAGGGAAACTGTTACTTGGCTCAAACCTGGACAAGCTTTAAAAAGGAAAACTTTCTGCCGTATTTTACCTCATGATCATTTTGATTCTCTTTGTCATCACCACAGAAACTGCTGGCTGTTACCATCTGCTGGGAGTTTGCTGAAACATTGGAAATGTCGCCACCATCACAAAGATCCATCAACATTTGTACATTAACAGCTTGTGATGGTGTTATCCTTTCACATTCATCAACTCCACTTGGATTTCCTGACACCTGCATGTTGGACTCACATGCTAATGGGCCTGATGTCTCCTCATTGGTGGCAGCATTTGTGGCAGCATTGGTGGCAGCATTGGTGGCAGCATTGGTGGCAGCATTGGTGGCAGCACTTGTGGCAGCGTTGGTGGCAGCATTGGTGGCAGCTTGATCATGAAAGGTATTGCAGTATACATTCTTTTGAACTGGTGAAGAAGAGAACTGCACGGGTTGTTTTGGTGAAGCAGATGGCAAGAGTCCTGGTACATAGAATTCCTGATAGGACTGGTCCTTTGTGGATGCTAATGACCAAAGAGCGTTGGGACGAGGTGCCTGTTTAATAAAGTGGAAAATTTAGTACTTTCATCGCACAAGATAACATCACAATGCAAAAACTGAACATGAAGCCTTGGGAATTAGAAATAGAGCAGTGTACCACTGGCAAGTGCTTGTTGTATACATTAAAGAGATCTTTGTAAGAGAAGCAAAAACTAAAACTAAAAAAAATTAGACCTTACCTCTGATTCAAATGGTTTCCTGTCATTGTTTTCATCACCGTGTAAAACATTTAGAAATGACCTGCTTAGTGAAGGATCAACAAGGGAAAAACATTCCTCAACCAGGACAATGTTATTTCCACTGTTTGCACACATTTCATTACCCTCTACTGTATTGCAATCTAATCCAGTCACACTGATTGCCTCTGATGTACTTGCAAAAGCAGTAGGATGTTCTTGTAGTGTCTTTTTACCAAGGAGAGTTTGATTGTCTGGAATTTTCTGAGCTAGTCGACTTGGAGCAAGAGCAGGAGTGCAAGAAATTTCATCCTCTTCATCAATTTCTTCCTTTAAGAATACAAAACAAAAATAAAATGAAAGACATGGATTTCAAGTCATAAGCAAACCATTGACAACTTACTCATTGTTGTCTTGTGTTTGACAAAAAATCAAAATGAAATCTTGGAGGAGAGTCACTCATATCACTGACTGTCATAAACATTAGATAAGTATGCAGAGATTCCAGCATATTCATTGAGTAAATTCTCATATTTAAACTATCTTATCATTGTTAGGTATGACAGTTGAGCTAACCGCCTCCCGGTTAGCTCAATTGGTTAGATTGCTGGACTGTTGTGCGGGAGGTCGAGGTCGATGGTTCAAGCCCCGGCCGGACCAACAATCAAGGTCTTAAAATAACTGAGGGGAATGCGCTACCTTTCTGTAATATCAAGAAATGGATAGACATTCTAGTCTTCTCAGATAAGGATGAATAAAACGTAGGTCCCGTCTCCTGGATCTATTAATTAGTTAATTTGGTTAGGCAGGGGACGTTAAAGAACCCACTCACGAGATTACTGTGATGTGGTCTGGCCTGTTTACTGGGAATTGGGGGGAGGGAGCATCTTCAAATAAGTTTCCTTCGATTGTTTGTAAACTGCTGATGCAGTCYGGCCAAAGTCCCCCCAAAAGTGTTGTGATGTGCATTTGATCATATCCACATGTTAATTTGCGCAATATAAATATTAAATTAGTATTATTATTATGACCATTAAGTTATTATAGTAACACCATAGAGAAAGCAGATAAAAATAAACATCAATGTTGCAGGGTAACCAACAATTGAGTATGATAATGACTTCCACTCCAGCTTTCAAGAAATCACTTACTCTCACAGGCAACAGACTACCTAACTTGTACAATCCCACAAAATAACTGAATGTCACTCCATCGCATATAATAAATGTTTTTGGTTAAACAGCCATTTCTCCTAAAAAAATAGACTAAAATAAAACATACTCTTGTGCAAAGAACCTGTGCTGCTCTCATCATGACAGCTCTTTGAGCACTCTCATCATCTCTTAGCAACAAAGCTGGCAGTTCACTACCACTAAAGGAAACACAAAACATACATTACTGGAAAAAAAAAAACACAAAATAAGTCACAGCATCATTTGACTTTCTCCTGGTAAATGAATAAAAAATCTCAGTTTAAACAAATAGAAACATCAAGCCATAGAAAGTGCTTGAATAACTTTTTTCACTTGCTATGATCCATCATAAAACTCTCTTGTTTGCTGCGCTTACTCTTTCCTTTTTTGATACATTGCAACTGGTGAATAAAATTGTTTGTGCACACTGTCCATGGAATCTTCTCTATTTATTAGCAGTTCTTACCCTTTAATCTTCTTTCCTTTCCCCTTCACACCTTTTTTAAAATGTGCCTGTGGGAGTGGGGGTGGGGCCATGGAGGCTGACAAAGCCAAAGCAAGCTGAGTCTGTTCATCAAGGTCACTAAAGGGGGAAAAACAAAGGTCCAATATAATAGCAGTTTTTCAGTCCAACAGTCAGTACTTTGATGGTTCTGAGGAGTTTACTAAATCATGTATATGAACTTCATGCATTTAGAAATGGAAAGTGTAGAAATGTTTGGTTGAATTTTAATTGCCTAGGAAGATTGAGATTGTTCTCTTGTTATTTCAAACTATTCTTATTCAAAAACTTAATATAGGGAAAAGCAGAAACAAAATGATAATCACAACAAAGCTGTTGTGTATATAACGGCTTTATTGTAATCATAATCATAATTCACATTATATTACATTACATTACATTACAAATGGGTTATAGAGGGAGGAACTGAATCCCCATATTAACTATACCCCATATTATAATTATAATAAATTACATATATCTATACAAATACTTTAACAATACATTCATACATAAGAATTTTAAAAATATGCTATAAATATATAAATCATTTAAAATAGACTTTTTTCAAAGCTTTTTTAAAGCTATTTACAGATTCATGATCTACGACATGATGGTAGCTTATTCCAACAATCAATATATCTGCTCCAGAAAGAATATTTAAATACATCCGTGCGAAAAAAAGGCTTGTAAAGTTTATAAGAGTGTGAGTTTCTAGATTTTCTATTACTGAAAGCCATAGTATCATTAATGTTTCCAGCAGAATATCCCTTTATAAACTTGAAAAGCTGGACTAAGCCCAGGAATTCTCTATGATGAGCAAGTGTTGGAAGATTGAGGGACTTTAGATGATCTTTGTAGGAAGTGTCTTTGCCAGCAATCCATCTTGTAATATTTCTTTGAACCCGTTCAAGTTTATCGATCAAGTATATTTGGTGGGGGTTCCACACTTGACAAGCATACTCGAGTATTGGTCTAATCATAACTTTGTAGCCCTTGAGTAAAGCCTCAGGGTGTGACCCAAGGGTTCGTTTGAGTAAACCCAGCAATCTGTTTGATCGTGCCACAATAGAGAGAATGTGAGGTTTCCATGATAAATCGTCAGAGAAAATTACCCCAAGATGCTTATGAGTAGATACTTGGTCAATAGATTTATTGTCAATGGAGTAGTTGCATTGTGCACGATTTCTAGCTCTGGTGAACTTCATAGCCTCACCTTTATCAGCATTATTCCTTAAAAGCCATGAGCCACACCAAATACTGACTTAGTCAAGACTCTCCTGCGCAGTTTCTGACGTCGAAGAGGGAGGGCAATGATTGTAAATTAGAGCATCATCTGCAAAGAACACTGAAGGACTAGATAGATGATCGGGAATGTCATTCACATACAAAATGAATAACAAGACGCCCAAGATGCTCCCCTATGATACTCCAGACCTAACAGGTGCCCAGTCAGATTGACAACCCTCCACCACAACACGTTGGACGTGTCCAAGGAGGAAGTCAGATAGCCATGAGTGGAGTGGTCCAATAATGCTAAAGCGCTCCAGCTTAAATAGAGGGCGATCATGAGGGACAGAATCAAATGCCTTTTCAAAGTCTAAGAATATCATATCAGTAGAGTGGTGTTCATCTAGTGCCTTTGCACACTCGTGGAAAAGATGAATAAGCTGAGACGTACAAGAGTAACTAGGGTGGAAGCCAAACTGGGAATCACTGAGAAGATTATTTGATTCTATAAAATCAAAAATGTGATTATATATTAGCTTTTCTAGGATCTTTACAATAAGACTTGTGAGGGAAATAGAGCGATAGTTCTTGACCTGCTCTTTCTGACCTTTCTTAAACACTGGCGTAATGTGTGCAGATTTCCATTCAATCGGTAAGGTGCCATGTTGAAGTGATTGGTTAAATTATCAGTCAAAGGTCCTGATATTGCCGGCACTGCCTCCCAAAGCATACGTGCAAGAATGCCATCTGGTCCATGAGCTTTAGGGACAATTACACCAGTGAGCAATTTCCTGATCTCAGATTCACAGCAAGACAAAGATGAAATAATTTGATCAGTATATGGGTGAAGTTCTTCACGCAACTGTTCAGGGATGCCAGGACTACATGTAAACACCAATATAAAGAACTTGTTAAATAGTTGTGCTTTTTCAAAGCCATTTGCTCCTTTCTGGTTTTCAAAAGACACTTCAAGTGGAATGGATCTTGACTTTATCTTGGACTTTATATCTGTCCAGAAACATTTAGGATTGTCGCTATTTATTAGAGACTGAATATAATGCCAATGGCTTTTGTTAAGTTCTGATTTAACCTTGTTTCTACATTGTCTATATTTATCCCAGTCAGACTGTAGCTGAGAGAATTTGGCCTTCTTCCATAAGCGCTTCCTTTTATGAAAAAGACAACGAATAGCAGAAGTTAACCATGGGACATTTTTCTTTTTATTCAGATGTTGCTTACTGATGTTGTTATGAACAGCAGCGAAGAATAATTCCTTCCATTTGTTCAACATTTGCTCAATATTGTTCTCTAAGAATACACTGTCCCATAGGGCTTTTAAGAGATCGGAGCGAAAGCCCTTCCAATTAGCATTTTTATAATCATATACAATCTTGGATGCTTGAGGTGGGTGGGATTAATAAAAACATTGAGATCGAAATAAACAGTGTTATGGTCCGAAGTTCCGAGACCACAATCGACATCAATATCAGATAAGTGGTCTAGTGTGTTGGTTAAAATTAGATCCAATAGAGCTCTTCCTCGGGCAGGCTTGTCAACAAGTTCTGAGAAGCCAAAACTGTTAATAAGACAGTCACAAAAGACGTCGCTAATAGAATCAGGCTGACAGGGAGATGTGAAATTCCAGTCAATATTGGGTAGATTAAAATCCCCAAGAAGGAGGATGTTACACAATGAAGGTAACTTTTCCAATGATTGAACTAATTTACTGAGATAGGCCATATCACTGCTTGCAGGGCGATAGAAAATCTCAATGTAGTAAATTGAACAAGGATTGAAATGGACTTCACACCGTAGAATTTCACAGTCAGTTTCGAAGTCACAGTGACGATAACAGCGGAGACCTTTTCTTATGGCTAGTAAGACACCACCACCTCTACCCAGTCTATCTTTTCTGAATATATTGTAGTGGGATGATAGTAATTCTTGATCCATTATGTCGGAGTTGAGCCATGTCTCGGATATTGCAATAATATCTAGGTCCTTTGTAGAAGCCACAGCTTGAAGTTCACTTCTTTTATTTACAATGCTACGGGCATTTAAGCTACAGCATTTTAGAATCGAGGAACTGGTTGGTTCAAGGTTTGGCTGAATATCATTAGATATAAGGAGAAACAGGATAAAAAGATATCTTCTGTTAACGTAGCGATGGCAAAGTTCTGACATCCTTGCCTTGACGAACTTTCGTTTACCAATGTTTCGAAATGAAGCGGCCAAACCATGAAAGCATCAACCAGAGGAGGCTTTTGATTTTTAGTACGATTTCTAGCGCTTTTTAGCCAAAGAATAGAAAGAAAAATAGCTGTAAGCAATAAGATAAAACGAGCCAAATGAAGAGCGTCCACCATGTTCGCGTCCTGGTCTTGCTCTGTACTATTCTTGAGTAACTTAACACTGCGTGGCACTATGTGTGATGCTTTCATCAAGTGTAAATACAGAAAAATAACAGATATTAGTGATGCCACTCAATGTTGATAAAATCATGTAAGGGCATTATATATTACAGTTCATATATTGCATCTTGTTACATATTTCCAGATAGCAGTTATTGGAAGCCATTACAATTGTGGGACAACCAATTAATCTGCCATGCAGCTACTTTCTGTCTGCTTTCACTTATACCTAAAACAAGTGTCATCTCAGATATTTGTGAGAATAAAAATGTAGAATGGAATATTCTAAAAAATGATAGTATATGGAAAAGTTACAAGATCAAGGTTGGGAAAAATGTATATGATATCTTACTGCTCAAGTGTAGCACCTCTCCTCTTTCTTTTCACTTCAATAAGATTTCTAATAGGACGCACATTTTCTTCAGATGCTGTAGTTATGGAAGTCTCGTCCTCCTGCTGTTTCTCCCGATGTACAATCTCCAACAACTGATGGGTTTCTACATTGTGCTGCTGCGCACATTTCTTGAGATGTGTTTGACGAGTCTGGAGGCATTAACACATAGATAAATGAGCTACAAATAGAGAACTGCAGTCTAAAATGATATCTACACAGAGTCAATAATCATGTCCAAGTTCAAAGGATGAATGATGTTCTTCAGCAGAGATTCAGTTTGTGTTGCCATTAATTAACCATTGAGTGATAAGAATAACCAACCATTAGAACTTAGAATTGTCTAAGTACTGGTAAATCAAAATAAAGGCAAGTACGGATATATTGACCCAAATAATGATTATTGTAAATGGTACTGTTAATAAGAAACAAACAAAAACAAAAACACAAAAAACCTTTGCTGTTTTGAATCCTTTCCCACAAATAGGACATTGTGCCTGAACTAAAACTGAATTTGACAATGGCATTTCCTTTTCACTGGCCTGATCACAACACCGGTTTATGTGTTGTTGACGCCTTTGTGAGTTCATTCTTGATAAATCCTTTTGGCAGAGCTGACAGAAATATGAGTCTTCTCCAACGCCTTTAAAAATCACCTCTCGTGAACCTTGCTCCTTGACTCTGTTATCAGAGCAGCTGTCAAGACAACTGTTTATATGTTTGTTAATGGTATCCAAATTTTCTACTGATAAGAAGCTGAAACTGCAGACTGGACAAACCCTGTCATTTGAAGAGTTCTGCTTTTCATCAGAATGCTCCGTATATTTAGTAGTTTCTTCCTTGGATACAGTATCCATTTCATCTTGATCTTCTCTATCGAGATTCTGTTTATTGTTATCATTTTTTAAAAGTATGTTACCCACAATGACATTAAATTCGTGTGACTGGAGTAATGAACCATCTTCCGTTGATAGAGTTTTGATATTATCTCTGCAGTCAGCCTCATTGGTGGGTTTAGCATCCTTTGAATTTACAGTCTCAGATCTAGGAGTTTTGCATTTTTCTAAGCATAATGAAGGTTGTTTTAATTTTATAGCATTGCGGGTTCTTTTAAACTTAACCACATCCTCAGAGCATGCTGATCCAAGTTCTAAAGAGTCAATCCTCTTGCATCGAATGCCGTATAAATCATCTACAGCCTTTGACTTCACATCATCATTATTTTCATCTTCATTCTCACAAAAATTAAACTCATCAATTCTGTGATCTCCTGACACCCCAGCAGAAGGTTCGCCTTTGAGGTACTCATCACAAGCACAGCCAATGTCTCTAGTATATACTACTGATAAACGTGCTGAATGATCAGAACTTTCATCTGGACTTGAAGAAGCTGATTTTCTCGATCTGAGAGCTGTGTAAGATTTTCTGGCAGTTTCATTTAAGCAGAGATCACTTTTGGACAATTTCGTAGATTTAGATTGCTTCTTACGCGACAAGCATCGTTTATATTGTGTCCCTTTCACTTCACCCGTCATCTATAAATGAAGTTTTGCCCATAATATCCTTGAAAAATTTTCATCGATCAACGAGTCAATTCACTTTCAGTAAACAAAGAAGTCAATGTCAAGACGATTAAAAAGCTAGCTTGGATCTGCTCTTAAATTACATGAAATCCTTAAGATCCCACAAGCTGCATAAGTGATCAAGGATTAACCTTCTTTTCGTCAATTTTGTCTTGAACTTTACGACGAAATTCCAACGCCTGCTGAATATTGTACTTCCTTCTTTCCTCTTTTTCAGCGGGGTTAACGATCAGCTTATACCTATGATAAAATCCGAAGCCAAATAAAATCAAAGTCCCACCAAATACAATCGGAAATATAAGTCCCCTTGTGAACATGTTGCTGTACCTTCCAGTCGACGGCGCAAACCCGCCAAAATACTTTATGCAAACCGCGCACTCTTTTTGCGTGTTACCGCTGATTAAGAGATTGCTCTTTGCGACCGCACGCGCCCTCTCCACGAAGGACTGCCTTGTTTTACTTATTGCCTTGTACGTTCGTCAGTTTGTAAGTATATAATTTTGGTTTATTTGGCTTAGCTCATAACTTCAAATGGAATTTTTAGACAGTTAAAAATAAGAAAGCTATCAAACTATAATCTTCGTTTGGTAATCAAATGTGTTCAACACGAGGGTTGTAAACATGTCTACGTCAGCTGATCACTTCTTATACTTTATGATGTGCATGGGTTCGGTGGACGTTATCAGCCTCCAATATTTTTGATTGATGTTTTTGTGTATTTGAGATTCCCCCATACCGCGCTCTCACGAACTCGAATCTTAATCAGTTTTCGGCTGTTCCTCTGCTTTAATCGATAATACCCCATGCGGTACAGCTGGGGTATTTCCACAAAATTAATGGTATGAACTCTACTAAGGAATTGCAGCTTTTCTCATTCCCTTTTCTTAAAGATTTCGTTCTGATCCTGTTCTCTTTTCCTATACCACTTCAGGGAAAAAATCACGTCATGAGGCTTGTTATCCTGGAATCCTATGAGCAGGTGTCAGAGTGGGCAGCCAAATTTGTGAGAAACAAAATACTGAAGTATAATCCAGGACCTGGCAATTATTTTGTACTTGGTCTACCAACAGGTACTGAAATGAATACTTGTTATATCATTTCTTATTCACTGGTGAATTGTTAGTTCACATAAAGTTGACCAGCTTTCAAAAGTGAGAACTTTGGAATCTTGAAATGTTTAAAAACATCATTTTCAAGACAGCAGGATTAAAACTTGATTTTATATGTGCTTACAGTTTAATAAGAGAATTTTACATCTGTTCTCAGGTGGCACCCCAAAGGGCATGTACAAGAAGCTGGTAGAATTCCACAAGAAAGGGGAGCTTTCTTTTAAATATGTCAAAACCTTTAATATGGATGAATATGTTGGTCTTCCCCGTGATCATCCAGAAAGCTATCATTCGTTCATGTGGGAGAATTTTTTCAAGCACATAGACATAGATCCAAGTAATGCTCATGTGTTAGATGGCAATGCTTCAGATCTTGTTAAAGAATGTGATGATTTTGAGGACAAGATAACAGCAGCTGGAGGAGTACATCTCTTCATTGGAGGTATTTACATACTCTGCAATTGTCTTGGTCATAGGAGCATAGTGGAGGCAATAGAGCATTTTTAAAAGGGGTGGGGGTCTTTCCTTTTACCCAGTGTGCACATACCCTTACTCAAATTTCCCAAAAGTAAAGTCTGCTCCACCAATTATGCATAGTGTAGCACGCCTTAAAATTTCTCGTTTAACTTAATTGTATCATCATAATAATGACAGTGATCTCAGTCGTTATGACTGTCTTGATTTGAAATTATTTCTGCATGACCATCATTAGCATCATGTTATCATGCCCATTATCGTGCCCATTATCACGCCCATTAAAATGCCCATTATCACGTCCATTATCACGCCCATTATCACGCCCATTATCACGCCCATTATCATTATTGTCAAACCTTTGTGACTGTCTTTAGCCAACCAATTAGCTACAGATGCAAATAGTGTTTGGTGATGTTTACTAGTGTTCTGGTGATTTAGTAAGAGAGCGAAAAAAAAGAAAACAAATGAAAAAAGAAAGATTTTACTATTCAAGACTCAAATTGAGGATACTTAAGACTCCCAGTCTGTCCATTTTTGGAAACTACTACTGCCCAAGTTTTTTGTTACCACAGGCACCAACACTCTTTAGGTACATCGAGCAGTAGCTTAAAGTTCTTTATTATTTTCATGAACCAATGCCTTGCTTTGACAACCTTGACAGGAATAGGAAGTGATGGTCATATTGCATTTAATGAGCCTGGCTCATCATTGGTTTCAAGAACACGAGTCAAGTCCTTGGCAAAAGAAACTATTGTGGCCAATGCACGGTTCTTTGACAATGACATGACAAAAGTACCAACAATGGCTCTTACCGTGGGAGTGGGCACTGTGATGGATGCTAGAGAGGTACAGTCAACAGAACAATTAAAGGAATTTTTCTAAAGTGCCTGTTTGCTTAGGATCACAAACAGGCCAGGTATTGTTAAAAATGTGAGCTGGGGTTTCTGCACAGAATACAAGATACAATGTTTAGTGAAAAGTGTGTTATCAAACTTTCTTGTAAATAGGTCAAGATTTGATGAGTTTAGATGAGACTTTTACCACCAGTGGGTATTCCACAGCTGTGGTTTCCTTTCACATCTGTTGCTACGTTTTCTTGTCAGGATTCTGATAAGTATTGGTGGAATACCTTCTTGAAAGGTATTGAAATTTGGCCAATTAACAGTAATTTTTATATCCATCAGGTTCTTATTTTGATTACTGGTGTACACAAAGCATACGCCCTACGTTGTGCAACGGAGGAAGGAGTCAATCACATGTGCACTGTGTCTGCCTTCCAGCAACACCCACGGACCATTTTTGTAGTTGATGATGATGCCACCTTGGAGCTGAAAGTCAGAACTGTGAAGTATTTTAAAGGCCTAATGGATGTTCACAATAAGCTGGTAGAAGATCCTCAAGATCCAACAGATGCACCACCCAGTGCTAAGAGGTTGAAATCAGTTTCAGATGATGATGGAGGGAATTAATGGCTTCCCATAACTTTGCTGTGTCAGCTAATTTCCTACCAGCCTTATTTTACTGAATTTCCACCTCAAGGGGAGGCTTAAATCAGACGAAAATTCTGTTGACTTAAAAATTAATTCTGATTCAACTGGACAATTGCTTAGATACGTGTTGGATAAAATTGGAGACAACCTAGTGTGCGACGGAAGTATTGAAACAAAAACGGCATTAAGCGTAGTGGTTATGGTTAAAGTCAAAACGTGCAAAACTTGTAGTAACCATTCAAATTTGTTGTCAAAGAACTGAAAATAATGATTACTGCCTAATAAGACCAGAGACCATAAGGAGCAAAGTTAAAGAGTAGTTTAAATTGAGCTACGAGTTATTCCTCAAATCAGAGATTAATCAGCTTAGTACACTAATGAAAATGTCATTACTGATCACAACTAAAAATAGATATAAGAATAGTGGTTTACACTGGAATCAGTCAAGGGACATTTTCTCAAAAATAACAAACGTGAAAGTCTTACTCTTAGACTTGAAAATGTTTCTTAGCGCAAACGAGATTTGACTGTGGGTAAATCGAATTAAACTTTACAGAGACAGAACTTTCTCTGATTATTCGTTTTTTTCCCCTTATGAGCAATTGTTAAAGAAACGAGTGGTTTTCCTGAATAAAGATTGAGAGTATTTCATTGACGTTTTTTTTTTTTTAACATTTATTATTCATCTGTGATTCGTAGAGTACAAATAACGCCCAAAACGAGTACAAATATCTCGTGTTACTTGTACGCCAGAAAACCGGTTAGACATTCGCCCGCACTAAAATTAAAATTTGGCGTGTTGGATAATAAATCTCTGATAAACGTTTTGTTTTGTAGTATCGCAGAGTAGTTTTCACTCGTTGTTTGTATTTTGACTCGCCTTGCGGGCTCGTCAAAGTACGGCACAACTCGTAAGAAATACTCAGCGTATACTACACAACAAAACGTTTAATAAGATATATGTATTATTTACACTCAGTGACGATTGGACTGACACGTACCTTTGGTGTGACGAATGTTGTTTAAATATTCATAGTTTCCATCTGTACAGAATTGTCACAGATGGGAAGTTATGTAATATAGTGACATATTCTAGTGCAAAATCGACCTGATCAGAGCCAACAAATCCTGATTTCTCATTTAAAATACTTAAATTACTAAATCCACGCAGTAAATGGAATTTTATTTCTTTAATTTCATCGTGTCGCTTGTAATGTCAAATTGTTGCTTCACATTACACATCGCTTGGTGGAAAACTTCCATCAAATGTTTAACGGGGTTTTCCATATAGGAAAGGCGATTACTTTTGTTTCAATTCATTGATAATCTTAAGATACTGAGTACTATTTGATGATTGGGTTTAAAGGGGCGGGTCGAAAACGTATTGTTACCAGTTATAATCAGTCTTAATAACGGCAGTTTTATCTCACCTCGTTACTATATTAAACCTATGGCATTGTTATCTGGGTTATTCGTCCGTCCACTGACCGTGAATAAACCATCTTCTTGTATTGTTATTACCGTTCCATCCAAGGGTTTTTGCTTAAAGTTACACTTACAAATGCTTCGAACTGTCTACAAGGTCAGAGGTACTTGGTACAGTAGAGAAGATGTCTTAATTGTCAGTTGGCATAAAATACTTTATAGACATGATATTCAGACCAATGGGTGTTACTGAGGTAAGTGTAACTGCCACCTGAAGGACTTCAAATGACGATAAGCTTTTACTCTCTCTTCGTCACAAGCTTTGACCACCATAAGATAAATGAAATCTGTATAAAATTACGGACGCGACCGCAAAACCAATGATCTCTGCGGTTTGCGCGTGAAACCCTTTGCCGACATTAATGATCTGTAGTATTGGTTTATTGTACAATGCGCTTTTATTTTAAGAACTTTCATTCAGCAACTGAGTTGCCATGGGATTAGCTTAGAGAGCGAATGAGTTTGTTAGAGACAAGGTGCTCCAAAGAGGTTGTGTCAGTTTGCATACTCCAAAGGTTCTACTCAGTGAGACAGGTACGTGTTAAATCTTGTATTAAACACGAAGGCGCGCTATAAAAGGAGCCTTAGGTCCCACTGGACCATTTGTCAATCAACCGTCGTGTGATGTAGAACTCATAGACTCAAGTCAGCTTGAGCAACAGCTACTCCAAAGCAGTGAACAGCGAGAGCATTCCTCAAAATTGTTTTATGTCTTCATCACAATACAAGAAGTTTTGAGATTTGTATTTCCTTTCTCCAATGGAAGCTGTCTTTATTTGTGGCGGTAAATTTGAGATCTAAGTAGGTGGATCGTAGGTTACCTCATGCCACCATGCTGGTTGAAGTAAACAATAGATATCTCATTAGCTCCTTTTGTCCTTCCCAGGGAAGACTTCCTTATATAGCGCGCCTTCGCGTTTAAGTCAGTTTATTGTAGACATGATTTGTCCTCCATGCTACACGTAAACTATAGTCAATGAGAAGCTTTTTTAACTAGCAAAGTTCGAGAGACAGACAACTTCACCTGAAAAGTAAAGTATTTCGGTATCTTTTTTAAAATGGCTCAGACAGACCGGCCGAGTTGAGCTGTCTCAAAAATGAGTTCTAAAGAAACTTGCACTCAATGTTCGGTTTCAATATACTTTTGCGCTAAAGCTAAAATAGTCCAGGACTCCTCGACAACCATTATAACGTCAACGCGTATTATTTATTTCGATAAGTTATTATTTCCTTTGAAAGCCACTAAACCTTATTTTAAGAGAGGAGGGCGATCGAAGTTGATCTAAGAGTGCTTTTGAGTTAACAGTCCTTCATATAAACGTAGCCATCTCTGGAACTCATTAAAATCCGATCTTTGTAAAGTAAAATTAATCACATATACACCAAGCTAATTCTGGATATATTTAAAAACATGTTTTATTTAATATTTTATTTAAATAATAAGTAGTGGTTACTGTTTAAAAATTTTACTGTTTAGAATTTTCTCACAAAGGACTTTAAGGTTTTGAACTCATGATGAAACTGCTCCGTACATACGTAGAATCAGAAGAGAGAATGAAACAGAAAAGTTTTTGATACATAGGTTTTAGCGAGAAAAAATTTTATTCTTAATGTTTAATAATTTATGACAGTCACCGGAGGATTTTAACCTTCCTATTGGATGTTATCAGCCAATCTTGATTATGAGTTATCTTGATTCTGATTGAACGCTCCATCAAAAAATAAGATTTATGGTAAGGACAAAAATTAGCGACCATCCAGACGGCCTGACTCTTAGCCTGTTATACACAGCCAATGAAGGAGGACGAGCATGAAACGTGTTGGTGTTTTCTGAATGTGAAGCTGTTTCTAGGATTCTCCAACCTCTAACTACATTGGATTTAGTGATTCATAGTCTCCTCAAATTCAGCTCCTCCGCTATGCTTCGTAAAATTGACGAACTTGGAAAGGAGTGCTAAGGTAGGTAATTATCATTATTTAGACCGCACATACCAACTTATCAGCAAGAGAATTTTTAGCTGACAATAAATTTCTGATCGAATAAATTAATGAGTCGTGGCAGGTGGTATTTACTTTCATCTGAGTACTGTGTGAGCCTCTGATTAAAAAAAAAGTAACTAAAGGTGTTTTTTTGAAATACTTTTTGGTGATACAAAGATAAACTGGCTGGAGCAAAGTTGTAAAATGTTTCGGTAAGTCATCGAGGAGGACCTGCAACTCAGACACGTAGGCAATTTGGGAGGACCACGGAATGTTTAATCATCTTAATGCCTTTTATTTTGTCAATTCTTTTACAAACGAGAGAGAGTGGGGGCTACTCACACCCTATGAGGCTACGATCCATTCTGCTTCTTAAACTACGCTCTGTAAAATGTAGAGCTTAATTCATACAGAAGAGTATCGAGATACATAAAATAGAGACAAACACGTACTAGCCAAAACAATTACTACCACTTATTTGCGATTTTTTGGTGGATAGACTTGCTCCGTCGATTTCGCTGTCTCACTTAACTAACGATGTGTCAAGGCAGTATTGTTTGTTATGTGTATCTCACTTGTGAAGACAGCTGTTTTCATGAATATGGATATGGAAAGTGGGCAAGAGAAGAGAAAATCATCAAAGACTTCGAGATTTAGCAATTGTTTAAACTTTGAAAAACCAAAACGATTACCGAGTCAATGACTTTCAATTTTCTTTCCATTTCATTTTTGAAAGCGATTGCTTTCTTGTACAATACATAGGTATTTCTTCCGTAAGACTAAACTGACATGTTGGTCAACTTTGGTCAGAAGCGTATATTATATCAAACATCAGCGTAAATTAAGATCGACACAACTGTACCGAATTTAATCCAGGCATTGATCCGTGCCAAATATTACATTTTAATTCTGCTTATCTAAGAAGGTTTAATGAGGCGGTTTCTTTCACGACAATTTTTGGTTAATGTGCCAACACTTTTCCAACCATATAAATTCTTTATAAATCTTTCTTGACAATCACAATTTTCACGACTTCAAATTCAATTTCGCTTTCCATGCCTCGAGGATAAACCTTCAATTCATTCTTAACTGGTGCGCCACATTTTAACAAATTAGCAGCAAAGACAGGATGTTTTAAGAGCAAGTAATTTATTTCTGCTTATTTTACTTTCGCTTTATTTGCTCACTTAGAGAGTTTTACTTGTATTATCTCTTTATCTTTTTAAAGCTCATTTGGTAACCATAACAGTTAACTTTGTTTCAGACATTTCGAAGAGCGGGCTTTGTTAATTTAAAAAAACTGAGGGTAAAATGATAAAAGCAGGTGAAAATGTTCATGTTAAACTGAGTTAATTTGGGTCTGAAAGGCAGCCAAGTTCTTTAATTGTTGGAATTTCTCACAAAGTAAAAACCTAAGTTTAAAGAAAATTTGTGACAGAACCGTTTTCATTACAAAGATTCACCAGCGACGCTAATTTAGGTAAACATCTGTCGAAGTTGTACTCGGTTTCTGATTGGATAAGGGGAACAGAGGAGCCTGAGAAATAAACACAACAGATGGCATTTTCCCCCGATCGAATAACAGCGAATTTTGATCTTTCAATTTCGAACTAAAAACACCTTATTTCTGTAGCTATTCAAAGCCAAGAAAAAATATTTCATAAACGACGTCTAGCTTCTGCTCATCAGCAAAAGGAAAGAAAATGCTTGTAAAGTAAATCGTCAGGAAAGTGAAATGCCGCGTTGGAACCTCGTACGGTTTGAGGTTAGCGTGTTGTTTTCTCTTCCCTCCTTAACTTAACACTTGCTATTGTATCTTTGACTGACAGTACATATAACCACCGCCTGATATGTTTTCTCGTGCGTTCGGCTGCGTTCATGACTATTTAGTAACCAGCCTTTTCTCAGGTATAGCTTAAAAGTTTTCCAAACGTGGTCGTTACTGATCGCACATCTGAATGCAGTGTTTCGATCGTAATTAATTTTGCGGAGGCGAAGAAAGAGTTAAACAGCGCCTTAAGGACTAATTCTTTCTTCGTCTGGAAGATTACTTTTGGGGGTTCAGTTAATCCCTAATCGAATCATTTCGCACTTATTTTTGTCTCACTTCAAAGTTCAGTGACCATGGCACAGTTTGCTTTTGTAGATAATGTCGCTCAATGAGATATTTATGATTCTTGTATTCAAATATATTACGTTGCCTTTCAATTGCTTTTAGGAGATACAAATATTGTTTAGTACAATTGCAGCTAAGGCTTGTCACATCTCACGCTATACTTGGGAAACCCTAGTGTTAGATATTTTCATTGCCAGCGGTGCACTGCACACCAGGAAGAGCAAAATCATTGTCCATGTTTAAAAGTCATTCTTTCTTTACCTAAGAATAGAATCCATGTTATCTTTGCGAGCAAAACCGCTGTGGCTTTGCATTTATATTCTGATTGAATTTTATGGAAAGAAATGGAATATTTCTGGCAATTTTGAAGACTGGTAATTTAACTGATTGTTTAGCAAATGTTTCCTTCTGGCCATTTCGAAGCCGTTTTAAGACCTGCAAAACATTATGAGATAACAAAGACTAGATATAAAACATTCCTTGCCGGTATTTAGCAACACATTTTGTTTATTGTCACTCACTTTCCCATAAAGAGGAAGCATTTACGACGTTGTTCAAAGTAGATCTTTTTCACCTCTGCTTGCGACTGACTCATGTTTCCAGCGACCCATCATTTCTGTTGACGAGAGGTCATAAAGTTCTCTTGCTGATAGGGATAAACCTTGTGCCCGCGAAAATGGCAGGGAATCTATGGAAGGCTGGAAGGCATATAACGTAAGACAGACACTTAACATATGAATCGTAAATGAAACAAATTTCAACATCAACAACATTCAGCCATCTTTTTTTTCTTACCAGTTATAGGTAACGAGTCAGCAAATCCCATTCTCGAATTGAAAATTTTCAAGTTGCATTTATTTGTAAGTGGATGACGTTTAAAGTAATTTTTAAGTCATGAATAAAACCATTTCAGCTTTGTTGATATATTCAAATTTTTAAGTCAGCCTGATTCAGAATAGATTAATTTTTAAAAGTGATGAAGAATATATAAATCTTGCACGACTCTACAGCGAATATTTGCAGAGGCAAAGTTTGAAATCAACAAGAAAAGAACATCGACTGGTACACGGATAAACAAACCGCCATAATTCGATTGGATTGTCTACCTACGAACTTTCTGCGAGTCGGTATGTTGATTTGTTTCAGTTTTGCGCTGTTTTCTTTATATTATGAGCTAAAAAGAAAACTGATAATATTAAAAGTTTGCCTTGCGCTAACAACAGTGCCCGGGTCATGGCGGGAACTGACCATATTCAGGCAGACTTTTAAAATGTCGTCCTCTCCGCTATATTGACGATGACCTTGGACTGGCTGGGAAAACTAGTATAATCTGACTAATGTAGGCAATCAAACATCTCATCCTGCCACCCGCAACGGGACTGACAAAGAGAATGAATAAACATATGTCAATTTTCACTGATCCATCCAAACGTTGCAGCTCACAAAGAGTGAGATCAGGCATAGCTAGATTGTGGAAAGCCTTGAATCATGGAAGGAGAGCACCAAAAAAGGAGCAACACATAATAACTGAGACCGAGTATGTGAAAGAAGAAAAGTGGTTGAGTTACGATAAATTAGCCGGGTAGAAATTTCAATTGACCAGTTTTTTGCCGAAAGTTATTTGCATTTGGGGGAATAAAATGATTGAAGAGCTCTTTGATCCTACCCGATTGATGTTTAAAGCTCAGTTTACAAATGACGATCAAGGTAAACTTTGAAATCATATTTCGTTTCTTAAGAGGTTTCGACACTTGACCTGTAAAAAGACGAATCATGGTGTCCTTCTAAACTTGCAATGAAAGGCATTACAATGGCACTGCCTATATGTCCGTGCGCTGTCATCTCACTGAATCCGCAAACGTGCACGCGAAATAAAACTTTCGCTTGTGACGTCACTAACAAACGCGACAAGACAACATCCTGCTCGCTTGGAGGTTAACAGCATGCTACAACAAAATCAAAATGGTTTCGTAGTGGGCCAGCGATACGCGCCCTAAGCAATTCGTAAATTGTAAAGAGCGAGAACGAACATGTCAGCCAGTCGTCGCTTGTTAGGTGTCCGCAATGCTTCGTTTGCACCGCAGTTGGGAATTGAAGGTTTGGTAAGTGAATTAACATTTGACGATTGTGTGATACATCAACAGGCTGACCAAAATGACATTTACACGTAACTCTATATCAGATGAATTTGATTTTCCCGTCAACTTTAGAATGTACGTTTGACAGAAAATGAAAGTTGCTTAAATGTTTTGGATGACTAGATATTAGTTCATCACTGGGGGAAGGAACTTAATTGCAACAGCGGGTTTTTAAATTTAGTTGCTGTTGTAGGTCATAAGTTGTAAGTTGCTACTCAAGACTATTCTCGAGCAAGTTTCATAACAATCTGATCGCAAGATAAATCATATCTAAGACATTTCGTTATCTTTAACAGAAATTTATTTACTTTAGGGGAATTTTTGCCATTTCTTTACATTCCTGTGGAACCACGCAGTGCTAATACTTTGCGTTACTGTTCTGAAAAATTCGTTATTTCAACAGGGAAGGTTTGCTTAATTTAGTTTTCTTAACATATCCCTAAATATGGATTCTAAGGAAGTATGTCGAGAGATAATTTTTATGCGTTGGAGAACGGCGGAGAGGAATTTTTTAATTCGATTTTATTACTATATAGTTGAGATGACTGGAAAGTTATGAATACTTAAAGGAGCATTTAATAAACTCAGCTCTCGATGAAGCGAAGGGGCGGAAAGTGAATAACGTACGATTTCACATTATTGCCAAAATATAAACTATTTTCTTTGTCTTTTGAAAATACACCTGAAATATTTACCCTAAATTCAAGTATAAATTGCCTATTCTAAAGCAAGGTCTCGGAAAAATAGCGGTGTCGTTCATGATTTAAAGTAGGTAAGTAATTATATTTGAGATAGCGAGAGTTATTCCTACGGAAAATATGAGTTATAGAATTCTCCTCTGAGGCTGTTTTGTCTCAAACGACAAGAAATTTCTTTTATCATGGTTTTATCGAGCGCACTTTTTTTTCGCCAACCACCAGGGTGCATATACGTCTGTCATAGGAAATGTAAAATTCTCATTGTGGTTCGCTTCAATCTGTGAGCTTCCTGTTTCTTTTGCTGTTGCGTTGTAATATAGCTCGCCACTGATTTGTTTAGCTTGACACTGTTATGCTGTTTAGGGTTTTATTGAAACACTATGCGCTGTTTCTTAGCCTTGATTTTGTACGCTTTATTTTACCGAACGGGTCACGGTGTTCGTCATTAATTATCTCTGAGAACAGTTTATTCTGAGGCTGGCCACGAAGAAGCCATTTTCAAGGAACAGGTGAATATACTTGATATTTTTGGTAGACCAGCTGCACTTACCATGGCGCAAAATTTGCATTTTACGAATAATTTCCAAAACTGGCACTCAAATAAGGATAAGCAGTCATAGATCTCTTCGGAAATCCTTTTTTTTTTTCCAAATAATATCCCGCCTTCTCTTCGCAATCTTTCGTACAAATCAATTTTGTCTTGCTCAAAGGGGGAAAAGGAAACTGTTTTAGGCGATCTCTTATTTCGTGGAGAGAAGAAAATTTTGTTCTTGCTCGAATACAACCATTAACCTTCGCACACTATCTATCGATCAGATGTTTATTGGAACTAAAAGAATTTAAACCAAAAAAATAACTTCCCAAGGGTTTTATGCAAGAGTGGGGCTAAGCATATAAACGGAAATCTTCGAACCTTCTCGATATGCCAAGATGTCAATGGTTTTATGATGTATGAGTTTCATCGCAATTGGATCGTGTCCAAACCGTTCCCAAAAGTAGTTTCAAATTCGTAGTTAATGATTTAATCGCAGGAAGTAAAAAAGCTTATAAGATATCACGAACAAAAAACACCGGACCCTGCTAAAGTAATTAAGGCAATTTAAGGCCAAAACAAACTAGAATTAAAAATTCAGTTTAAGCTTCATGTCTAGTATATCCGTCAGCGCTAAATATCATTAGATACTTACCCACAGGCCTTCATGTGAAACAAACTACATGAAATTTTCCCTGGAACTTTTAATTTTTATTAGACGTTACCTCAGTTTTTGAATACTTCATTGATGATTAAATCTTGAATGCAACTTAAATGTGTTGCAAGCTAAAGGAAGAAATTTAATATCTAATGAGCTGATCCTCTCGCTAAACATTAATTCTCAAGTAGCATACGGTTTTCATCGCCTCATTGACTTTGGTACTTTTGTTTGAAATTTTCGGTCTTAAGATAATTAAGTGTGGCGATATCCAAAGCAACTAAGCAGTACCGTTTTAAGTTACTCTCTCTGGATATTACGCGATTTCGATTAGACTCCTGCGACCAGTAACGAAGCCTTTACGATATATTACACAAAAGCGAAACAATTCTTATCTATTGAAAGTCAGTCGAAAGATTACTAAGAAATTTTACTGAAGTACTCTCTATGAATTTTCAAATCAAAGAGGCGGGTTGTACACTACGTGAGATTTTGAAGTCAAAACAGACGCACCAGACGCAGAAATTTTCATAAATCACGTGAGTCTTCTTTTGTCTTTTTATGTAGGTGATGTCTCTCAGTCCCAGTTCTAATTCTCGGCCCCAGGCTCAACTCCACGCCTGCACAATCCGACATGACTCACTATTCAAGGCCGTGTGGGACTGGATTATACTTGCGCTCGTCATATTCACAGCAATAGAGATTCCTTTCTCTGTGGCTTTTCTAATGCCACTACAAAAAGATGGAGAGAAACCAGAACGCTTGAACTTTTATAGAGTTACTCCGCTACTTGTCTTCAACCTCGGTGTGGACCTCATGTTTGTCATCGACATTTTCATAAATTTTAGGACAACTTTTATCAAATTAAACACAGACGAGGTCATTAGTAATCCAAAGCAAATTGCTCTTCATTATTTGAAAACCTGGTTTGTGGTGGATTTTGTCGCAGCTATACCTTTTGAATTCATGATCACACCAGAGGTTGATTCGGTAAGTTAAATAATCTTGTACTTACATTAATAACGGCTGCAACTGCTGTTTTAAATCTCGTAATTGCCTAAATCTTTTGTTGAGTACTAATGGTCAATTTTCATTCATCATGGAAATGATTACTCATGACATATTAAAAATAACTACAACTTTCCATTTTATCCCAGCTTGCTGAGTTGCGAGCGATTATATTCTGAGAAGACTTATCTACGACAAACGAAATTTGAGGGGCGGGGTGTAACTAAAAGAGCTCTACGTTTGATTAAGAAAACATTTCCAATGAGTTTCCAATAGAAATGACGCTTCATTTCAACTCATTTAGGCAACAACATTATTTGGACTTCTTAAGACCGCACGTCTATTGCGCCTGGTGAGAGTGGCGCGGAAACTGGACCGCTATTCAGAGTATGGCTTAGCGGTGGTCATATTACTCACATGTCTTTTCACCTTAATCGCCCATTGGCTGGCATGTATCTGGCACGGTATTGGCAACTTAGAGAAAAAGAATGACATGGGATGGATACGAGAGCTTACGGAAAACTTAAACCTGAATAATACAACAGGTCTAGATCTCCAGACCCGCTACATTACCGCTTTGTACTTCACACTTAGCAGCCTGACTAGTGTTGGATTTGGAAATGTTTCCCCAAACACTGACGCTGAGAAAATCTTTTCAGTTTGTGTAATGATTATTGGAGGTAAGACAGCAAGGATCCAACAGTTTTTCTTTCAAACTAGTTCTTTTGCGGTGTGTGTTCAGAAAGACTGATCCATCTTTTTCTGAGTTGAGTCATTCCGGTCCTTACCAGTTTTTAAAATTTTTATATAAAAACTGATCCTAGCATTGATCTTCGCATAGAAGATCAATAGTCCTTTTTTTACAGTTGTGGGCTTGGTGACCAAGCCTTTGAACAGGAGTGAGGCTTAGGGTGACCTTGTTATGATAGATGTTGCTGCTTTTCAAATGCAAATTACTTTGTTATCATGCTAACGAGATACAGGTCTCTATCACAACAGGGTCACCCTTAGCCTCACTCCTGTTGAAAGGCTTGGCTACCAAGCCCACAACTGTAAAAAGGGACTATTGAGGACCACTAGATTGAGCAGTATGCCATTTGATAAACTTCCCTAACCCTAATTTACCCACGAGAAATCTGCCTCTTTAGGTAAAATATTGAAAAGGTTATTTATAAGAGTTGGCGTATTGTCCTTTCCGCAGCTCTCATGTATGCCTCCATATTTGGTAATTTGACTGCTATCATCCAAAGACTTTACTCGCGTGCGTCCCGTTTTCACCGAGATTTGAGAGTCATCGAGGACTTTGTCCGCTTCTATAAAATACCAAAGGCCACAAAAGAGGAGTTGGACGAGTAGTTTAGGCACGAATGGGCTTATACTAAAGGTGTTGACATGGAAACGGTAATTCAGTTTTGTTGCTCTCTCTTCTGCTTAAAACGTATGTAAGCATGGACGGGCATCTCTAATACTTTCGATTTGTGTTTACAAATAGGTTGTGTTTACCAGGAAAGTTGCTGGACATCGTTGAATTTTGTAGAGAGCGGACCAAAATGAGGGATTATTTATTTGGAACACAATTATATTGGGGTTAAAAGCCGGAATAATCGCGATTTTATTCAGTAACGTTCACGTCAACTTTCAATTCTTCTGTGTTCTTATCTAGTCCATCAATTCTTAAATGAGTTTCGAAAAGTTGACGGCCGTATTTCTGTAATATAATTTTTCAATAGTAAATCCTTTTTCTTCTCTATCCAGGTACTCAACCGCTTCCCAGAATCTCTTCAAGCAGACGTTTGTCTCCATTTACACAGAAATTTATTCACAGAATGCGGTGGCTTTAAAACCGCTAGCGAAGGCTGTTTGCGAGCCCTGGCGCTGCGGTTCAAGATTCGACATTACCTGCCGGGTCACTTCATCATTAAACAGGGGGACGAAGTGAAGCGACTTTACTTCATAGCCAAAGGGAATATTGAAGTTGTAAAATTCGACGAGACCATGGTAACGTTAGGTTGGTACACTACATGTTTACTTAAACTTTTTTTCTATGCCCATTAAGCCAAATACACGCGCTTATTAACGAGTTGATCTAAACGAGGAATTCTTAAGAAAAAAAAAGATAAGTTTGTGTTTACTCTTTGGTGCAATCTCAACTGTGCTGAGCAATAACAGAGACAATGCCGACAATAACGTCGATGTCAATCAGGACAAGGGCGATAACAATAGAAATAACTATCATTACAGTTGTCTTTAGCATCGCTGCACTATTCCCTAGCAGCCCTGCTCACTTCAACTGTTTTCCGGTGGCACGGGTTTTTTTTTATTTTATCGCCTTAGTAGTATTCGTTTCATTTATGTTGGGTCTGTTATCATGTTTTTCACTTTACTAAAAATATCCGGTAGGGGTTCAAATAATTTGTCTCAACTAACTCAAGCAATTTTGATGACAGGCAAGGGTGATGTTATAAGTTGTGATTACAGTACCGTGCAGAGCGTGTACATCCCTAAAGCTAACGCCAGTCTTCGAGTTCAAACACACTGTGAAATTCATTCTGTTGCCTGGTGCGAGTTAGTTGCAGTTTTAAAGGCCTACTCATCGTTTCGAGAAGAGTTCATCACACATCTCGAGTTAGCCTATAATCTTGGACACGAAGAAGAGGTACGAATAAACGAAATCAATTGCACACGGATGCTTCATACATGCGTCTTACCAACATGGTGTTTTGCTGTACACATGTATTTTGGTACATACACAAGTAAAGATCTTTAACGATGTAATTGCTTGAAATATACTACGAGAAAATCATGGAATTACTGCACAGTCACATACCCTCGGGTAATATGTAAGTGACTGACAGGCAGCTTTGAGTTGGTAATCCTACACCATTCTCAGACCGCTTATAAAGAAAGCTTTGTTGAATTTGATTGCCAGTCATGAATTTCAATGCTACTTTATCCATAATAAACTTAGTCATTTTTACCTTTTTATTTGACAGAAAAATTGTGTAAAACTGTTCTTCATTTTCTTCATAGGAAGATGAAATTATCCTCTTCAATGAAGAGATAAACGCAGGCTCTCGCAGACTATCAAACGCCAGATCGACGTTTTCGTCGCGCTCAGGAGTTGATAAACTGGAACGAACTGGCTCACCAACTTTTATGATAAATGGCCAAATACCTCAACAACAACATTCACCCGTTGTCAATCTACATTCCCGCCATCCTGCAGGAGGAAGTGAGCCCAGAATCCACACTCTCATGCCATCAATCCATTCCACTCTTCCATCATTACACTCGCAGTTAACTTCAACTCAAGATCACTGTACGCACGGAGCGGAAGTTAAAGTTCTCGAAAAGCGAATCGATAAAATAGAAGCTCGGTTGATAGCCATGCAAGACCGATTGACCGCAAATTTTGAGATAATTTTATCTCACTTACGAAGAAACAGCAGTGGTGGCTCCGCACCTGATCTTAGAAATACAAATGTTTGACGGGCGAATGAATGTCACTTTCCGAGTGATTGATGATTTGATCACGGGATCCAATGACTAATTTTTCAAGATTAACGAGCTAACTTGCTTGTTACGGTTATTGGCACTGTTGTAAATAAAGTGAGAATGGTGATCGTGTTTAGTTGTATAAAGCTTGAAATGATGATCAGAGATATTTATCGACGCATATGTACATTATATGAACAATTTCGCATGCCATGAGTGCAGCCCTTACAATTGCGTCAAACAATGTGTCGATCCATGGTTGACAAACAGAAGGAATTCATTTTTGTTAGAGGACATTTATCCATTTATCAACTTGTGCAAGGAAAGATTTCTTCTTTCTTTTGCTATTTACTACTTCTTTCTACTCGCACAACGGTTTGGACTTTGCGGATGGTGACAATACGCAGTATGAGTGTTACATATGACCTCATTACTGGTCTGGTCCACTTTAGAGTTCTCCGTGGCTCACTTACAGAGAATGAGGGCCCAGAGTCCAAAGCCCTAGTAAAGGACTCCGTGTTGGGGACCCTGATTATCTTTGTCCTACACTCTAAAAAATAGTTTGTAACCGAGTTTAAAGTTACCATTTTTATTGTTATCATAGAGTGCTCATTTTTCACAAAGTTCATGTAACTTCACCGTTACCATTCCGTTCTTTAATTTACCGTGCTGCAATGATGTCATCGGTTCCTTACTTCCTATGTTGGAACTGTGAACCAGTATTTATGGTTGAAAAATAATTTTTTTCTGAAATAAAAAAAAATCGTTCAGCTTCAAACAATGAAAGCCTCTTTCAGACGACCGAAATATAAACAATTTAAAACTGTTTGACGATAGAGCATTAGAGCTTTTACTATGCTTTTTACTATACTGTTCACTTTACTTTTCACTTGATCTAACTGATGATAATTCACATCACTCCAGATCGATCGGTGAAGAAAATAAGCTTTTTAAATCAAACTTTTTGGTAACAAAAAATTTACACGATATATTCATTTCATCTGTAGGTTTATTTGTGATAATTTTTTTGAATAAATCTGTTTGAATACTTTTAAACAAGTTCTTATCTGGTAAGATGGATAAATAAATAAATAAATAAATGAATAAATAAATACATAATCTATAACAGATAAATCGTTAACAGGATTTGTAATAAAAAATATTCATTAAAAGTCTTTTATTAGAATGTTTGTTGACGAGGATGAGCTCTCGATATAACCATTGTGTCAGTGGCGTTTTCACGCGCGCGCTTGACTTCGTTCTCTCCCTATCGCGCGTTCCACTGGTCACGTGAGTATAAACTTGCATCATACGAATTCGTTTTTTTTTTTAAAAGCTTTTCCATGATAAAAATCGATCACGGATTTCTGGTAAGAGAGGCATATCACTTTACTGTTCCTGTATAATGTTCTTCTCGCTTGTATTTGTTTCAATCGATAAAACGAAAACTTTGCACGAAGAGCAGAGACATAAGCTTTGCTCATAAATTTCTTACGCATTGCAAGTGGTGCAAGCCTTCCTCTTAATTGAACTGGCGAATGACGATAACCAGTTATCTGTAAATCATTTTCTTTTGCTATGCATTTACTTAGTCATATAGAAAGTCTTTCCAGATGATAATTATTTCTACTTGAAACTCTCTGTTTTGGTAAACATTGTCAAATGCAGCAAAAATAAGCACAAATGTCATGAAAGTATGTTCACAAATTTGAACAAGCCGTCATCGTACGATGTCAGTATTTTAGATTTAATTTCCGGTTTCCTTTCTAATTCAAGGCAGCAAGGAAATTCATGCTAAAAAAGAGCCAGTCATGCAATCTAGGGTAAGTATATACATGTGTCCTGTCTTAACTCATTGCTTCAGCTGAGCTCTATCTGGAGCGACATTGTTCGTTAAATAAGTGCGTAATTCTCATAATGGGAAGCCACATGTATGTTTACTAAAAAGTACCAAGCTAAAGTACCAATCAGACTTAATCTTGATGGTTGTTGGCTGCCCTCAGTATCTTGACATATTAGGGTTTTTTATCGCAGAAAATACATAGCAAGTCACACGTGGCCAATGACCCGCCTTACAAGAAAACAACGTTCCTGATACGTCATGATTCCCTCTTTAAGGCCGTGTGGGACTGGGTCATCCTCGCTTTTGTCATTTACACCACAATTGAGATCCCTTTCGATGTAGCGTTCCTGAGATTGAGGCAGACTGGTGCCAGTGCCTCTCGTTTTGGCATTCCAACGTCTCTTTCCCCGATCGTCGCCATGAACGTTTTCGTGGATTTGCTCTTTATAATCGATATTCCGATCAATTTTCGGAGTGCAATTGTTAACAAGCATACCGAAGCGGTTATTAGTGACCCCAGAGAGATCGCAGTTTTTTACCTCAAGTCATGGTTCATTGTGGATTTTGTGGCAGCTATTCCGTTCGAGTTCGTAATTGATCCTGAGCAGGAAGGGGTGAGTGTATCTTTGATCAACACATAATCTTTAGTCTGTCAGGTATGACGCTATGGGGTAGGATTTTGATCACAGCATCTATACCTGAAGTCATTTGCAGCAAGTAACACCGACTAATTGGCGATCTATAGTTTTTCTTTAATAATTTATTGTATATTTGTTCCAGGCCACCACACTCGTGGGTTTGTTAAAGACCGCGCGGCTCTTGCGCCTGGTGCGGGTGACGCGAAAATTGGACCGTTATTCAGAGTATGGCTTAACTGTCGTTCTGCTGCTCACGTGCCTGTTTATGCTCGTTGCTCATTGGCTAGCTTGTATATGGCACGCTATTGGAGCTGCTGAGGCACAAAGTGAACATGGCTGGCTAGCTTTACTTGCCCATAACATCAACAAACCAATAAATCAGTCTATTCCAACAAGCGGACCAACTCTTAAGACTAGGTACCTCACTTCTCTGTATTTTACTCTGAGCAGTTTAACCAGTGTGGGGTTTGGAAATGTTGCTCCATCTACGAACAATGAGAGGGTTTTTTCCATTATCGTGATGCTTATGGGAGGTGAGTGATTTTTGGACTATAATTTGCGATTCAGGGTTTTTTTTTTTCCTCAAGACTTCCACCAGCATCATTAGATCTATTTTCTTTAGGGACATTAATTTGCCAATGGTAAGAGTCCATTTAAAAAAGTGTTTAGACACTTTTGATATAATTTTTGATAAAAGAGTACTTTATTTCATGAATTTAAGCCTTGATGTACGCTACCATATTTGGTAATTTGACGGTGATTATCCAGAGGTTGTACCTTCAGACTTCTAAGCAGCACGAAAGCCTTCGACTTATCCGGGACTTTGTGCGCTTCTACGATATACCGCGGGCTCTGCGGGAAGATCTCGATAAGCACGTGATAAGTGACACTTCTGCGATGACAATGTCGGATATCAATAAAGTAAGTTTCTTAAATCTTTTTTCGGGTGACTTTTTTTCCTGCCTTCCTTCCAAAGAGGCCTCCTCGTTTAATTTCGGTAATTCAAGGCCATCGTTGCCTTCTTACTTTGCAAATAAGTTGAAAACTATCATATCCTCAACGAATGTGGTTGAAGTATGTTTTACAATTTTCTGTAGAGTGGAAGCTCTAAAGGCTTATTTTCCACTTAGAAAATTCCTAATACCAAGAGACTATAACCTCTCGCTGATACATAGTATGTTCATCTTTGCTCCGAAGGTATTAAGCTTGTTCCCAGACAGTCTTCAAATTGACATCTGTCTTCATATCCACGGTAAACTGTTCGAGGAGAATTCTGCCTTCAGCGCCGCCGTTCTCAGCTGCAAGCGGTCACTCGCCTCAAAATTAAAGATTCAGCATTTTTTACCACATCAGTATGTGATCAAACGAGGAGATGAGATGAACAACGTTTTTTTCGTCGTAAAAGGAATTGTTCACGTGGTACTGGATGAGAAGATAATTCTTGCCCTTGGTAAGGAAAAAAGCTATATGTGTGGCGTGACTGGACCCTCGCCCAAAGCAAATTTTTTCAGTCTTCTTTCCAAAATGTTTCGAAATCCGTCATACAGACGTTCAGAAATTATACTGATTAAACAAGATCTGCACGGCAAACTGGAATTGTCTTAAAATCGAGTTGTGTCTGCATATACCCCAAGCTGCGTGTGCAATTTATTAACAACAGTTTTTTTTTCTTATACCTAGGGAGTGGTGATACAATTTACAGCGAAGAAAAATCCTCAGAAGTTAAAGCACGCGCCGTTGCCAACGTGATCGCACAGACCCCTACTGACATTCATTATATCGAGTGGAGCGATTTGACAGCCATTTTCAAAATTTATCCTGTATTTAGAGAAGACTTCTTGGCAAGGATGGTCTTCGCATATCAAATTGGAGATCACAAGAAAGTATGTTTAGTTTCAATATGATCGCGGTATTCCAAATTAAAGGAGCATCTACTAGCACTATTAATTAAAACTGCACTTGCATAGAATACGCTTTTCTTCAACGGCGTTTGTTTAGTATGACTTTCGCACCTAGCCAGGGGTGGGTGGGGCGCTTATTTCTTCATTTTCATCATTCATATTCCTGAGTGGAGAGAGGCTCTGTCAGAGTAAAGGGTCTTGGGTCTTCGATCTTCAACAACACAGCACGCCAGTAAAAAAAAATGAAAAAACAAAGTTAAACTAACAGTCCGCGAGTAAAGAATAGCGCGATAGGATACAATCGGTACTTATTAGTGAGCTCTAATGAACCTCAAGGACTCACAGGAATGAATTAAGAAGAAATTATTACCTTAATGGACGATTTTACACTGAGGGGTAAAGCTTGAGAGTGACTGGTCTCTATGATAATATCTTAGGTCGTGTGATTCGAAACTAGGAAACATCACTGCGATCGGACGAAAACAAATCTAATATACACAAGTTATGAATCACAATTTCTTAAGAAAGAGAACAAAAGCTTCTGTCGAGAATTTTTTGTTCAGCCTCTAAAGAATTGATCCAAATTGTGTTTCCTTTCAGGAGGAGGAAGAGATTGAACAATTCGTTCGATCTCCTAGGAGACTGGAACCAAATGCAGAGACATATTCTAAGACAGATATAGAATCTCCAAATACTAAGAAAGACATAAGTAATCTAACTTTACAACCGTCTCCGAGTTCAATCGAAATGAAAAACGTTCAAGAAAACTTGAAGGTCATCGACCAAAGAGTCTTACACATGGAAAGAAAGTTGTCTGCAATGATGACTCTGCTGAACAAGATATCTGAAGCAGAAGGGGATGGAGGGAATGAAAGAAAATGATAATAATAAATAATACTTAAGACTAGTTAATCTTGTCGGTAACATTTTTACTTCTCAAAGTTTGCCGTTGGAAATCGTTAGTGTAGGACCCACATTCCATAACATAATGGGGTCATGCTGGCGACGTGGTCCTGAAAGATGGATAAATAAATACTGCGTTTTTTTTTTTCTTTTGCAAGTACTCTATCCGTTTCCCCAATGGTTTTCATTACAGTAAGAACTTCCCGTTAAGTCACCCCAACTCCAGAACCCTTCTCTAATGCGTTCATAACCCGAACGCCTCCCCTCCAAGTCATTCCCATCTGTAAAGGCCCGACCAAACGATAAATGTGTGACGATCCAACATGTTGGGTGAACCAACATTTTATCGTTTTGCCACCGTGTTTGATGACCACTCAACGTGTTGGATGATGTTGGAACATGTTTGAAGCAGTATCAAACATTTGATCCAACATTTCTTTTGTTCTCATGTTGGATGTGTGAAATTTTTTTCGTTTGGCCAGTCTCAAAAACATGTTGCATGCGTGCACGCGCATTGTGACTGCAAACTCAGTCGTTACCATAGACACCGTTAGCTTGCCTCAGTGTAGTTTGAATATAATGGAAGCCAGCGAGGAAGCAGCGCCGGCAGAATATCGCTGAAACTTCTACCAAAAAAACACCCAAACAAAAAGTAAGACGTTGGAGCGACGAGGAAACCGACCGATTGATCGACCCATTGGAAGAGAATAGATGCGTATGGGAAGTTTTTTGTGCCAAGTACCGCCTGAAAGACAAGAGAGAACGAGCACATTTTTTTATCGATCGGCGGCTAGTTCTCGAACAATATTGGTAAAATAACCACTCTCTTGTCGTCTTCTAATCCATTCTTTTGTTTTCCCTCGTTTACTTGCTCTATCCTCGGTTTCTTCAAGCTCGCCAAGCACTAATAACACTGATAAACAATGCTTAAATTTCTCTTTCCTCTCCGCCACGTTTCAAACATCCGTGGATGTTACAACGTGGTGTGCGCTGGAAAATATCCTTACCCACAACCCTTTGCGTCCCATGTTTGATCAAACGTGTTGAATGGATGTTTGGTATCGTTTGGCCACCCCGGCCCCTAATTTACAACATGTTGGACTGTCCAACATGCAACCATCGTGTTGGATCGTCCAAACATATATCGTTTGGCCGGGCCTTAATACTTGGGGCCCTGGAGTTTAATATGTGCCTCCAGAGTGCGAAGAGACAAACAAACGATGCTATGGACAAGAGGTGCAGGAATTTCCCGCTCCATCTCTGATGATCTGTCTTAATTTTGACACCTGTCAGCGGTGGATCCAGGTTTGGAAGTGAGTAGTTTCCACCCGAGGAGATACTCCCACTAGGGGGGGTTCGGGGGCATGCCCCCCAAGAAAATTTGAAATTTCGAGCCCTCTAAATGCTATTTCCTGCATTTTCAGATAATTTAATTGCACTAAAGAGAGCAAAATAGCATGTACCAAAAAGGCAAAAAGATTTATTTTTAAAGTACTACGTGAAACCCTCTGATCTACTAGCATCAGCTGCTATGCAAACCTGTGTCACTGATGTGTGTTCACTAAGTCCAGTATTTTCAGGAAAGTCAAGTCATCTCTAGAAACGGATCAGTAGTTTCTAAAGGGAGATCAGAGTGTTTTTGAAAAATTTGAGTGAGTTCCGGAACTCACTTAAACTACCCTGGATCCAACCCTGGCCTGTTTGATTGAAAGCTGTCAAGAGAGAGTGCCAAGTGATTTCATTGTTTCCTTTCTGTGAACCAGACTGTGGTGCGAAAAGTTACTTCGAGGTTATTACCGATTCTTTCCAATTGCCTTACTGAATGAGGCATACTTACCAAAACTACCAAACGAATGTTGATGACTGATATTAATCACAATGAACTGAGAGTATTACTTTTGTTCGCCGAGGATCTCAAGAACCTTTCACAGAAATCCACGTGACCGGAAGTTGAAAAGGGTGCAAATTCCAAACAGTGTTGTTGATTTCAAAAATGGCTACTGTGCCATGATCAACAGCTTGCACATTGATTTTGGTTTAGTTAAGAAATGATATAGAAGATTTTATATTAATTTAGCTTGAAATGACATTTCAAAATGCCTAGGAAGAAAAATCAAAGTGCAGATGCCTCCTCATCAGGGAGAGATTCGACAGAGAAAGTACCGAAAGATAACGAAGTTCAGCTGAGATGGCGAGAGAACACCCTTGTCGAACTGCAGAATATGTTTACCGGTTCAATAGATCCTGAAGTTGTTCAGCTGGTACTTTCAGAGAGTAGTTATAATGGTGGGCATTTGTATGTGCTGTTAATGTTTTATTACCACGTAAACTTACAGAGTAATTTCGCTCACGAACGTTTCGTCTATGTTTAAGTTGGCTATAATACTGGTGTATTAGTCGATCAAGTCCATTTCAAACGACATTTTCAGTTCTGTTTCATCTATTGTAAATTCAAATTAACAGGAACGATGAGAAGGTAGTTTTTCACTGCAAAATTTTTTGAGAGGGGGGTAGGGGGGGCGTTCTTGATGTAAGGAAACATAACACTCAGTTTCCCTTTCGGGGTTTATTTCGAGTACAGCTTTTCAGAGGTTTTACCCAGTGGCAAAGGGAGGAGAGTTGCTTACCTTGAAGGGAAAAGTAATTGCCCTGATGACGGGACAGAATCCTTTAAAAGCTCTTTGGTATACCATTACATAAGTCGTGTTAGTAAGTACATCTAGTATGTTGTGTGAGTTGAAGTGGGATACTGTTTCTGCAGTAAATGATGCTGTGGAGAAGCTCTTTGTCCTCAGTGGAATAGAGCAAGGACAGATGGAAAGTGAAGCCATTCCAGACAGTCACCCCTCTAAATCATATAGAACTTCATCATCATCTTTGGAAAATCAGAAATCCAATTATTACCACGGTGTCTCAAATGCTGGTCAGTTAACCCATAAGGTTGACTCCCATTCTGATGGACCTCAGGCTGGAGCCTCTTCTGGCAATTTTAATTCATCAGTTCTAAAAAACAGTTCTACACTGACATCAAAAGGAAAAATAGCACATAATTCACCATATAGCACAAGTGGTGATCAGCATCAAGGAAAGGTTCCAAGGTCTCTACTACATTATAAACCAACATCAGAAGTGTTTTATGGTGCAAGTGGAACAGTGTCATCTGAAGGAGAAGTGTTGCCTGATGTATGCACCGATAATACAAGCTTTGTTACATCATCAGGCTTACCAGAGTTTCCTGATAATATTGCACAGCAATTTGACAGTTTATCAAACCAGGCAAACCCCCCCTATGCTGGGTTATTGTGTTCTAAAAAACCTACAATTCACCAAGGAGATATGCAAAGTGAAGATTTAAAACCACCTGCTGGTCTTGATCATTGTGAATTAAATAAAGCTAAACCTATAAACTTACCTATCCATGATCAAGAACTTAAAGGAAACTTAGAGTTGTTTATTAAACAAGAAACACCTGGAAGCACTGGCACAGAGGAAACAAAGAAAATTTCTTTGGGTTGCAGTGAGAAAGAACCATTAGATTTTGAATTCAACAGGAAACAACAACAACTTGAAAGCTCATCTCCAGCAGGTAGAACTGACAACACCAATCCTCGAGTACCATGCAGTGAAAGTCAGAGGACTTCAAATTATCACAATTATAATGATAACTATTTAAACTACCATCAAAACAACCCAAAGACATCTCTGAAGCACAATGAGGATACACCCCAGTTTCAACACAAAACAACTACCTTTCAACAGCTACAACCTCATCATGATGAAAAGAGTAAGTCAAAGGAAACAATGTCTCAACCACCAGCCGTACAAAGACAAATTCACCCATATCTACCACCTCAAGGATTCAGTCAAATGTTAAATGTCTCGCACCAAAGATTTCCTTTTATGCAGGTTAGACCAGCTGCATGGCAACAAGGATTAGCGACTCAAAGGTTTCCAGGACATGTTCCAACCCAATACCTTCAAGGGCCTTTCTCAATGCATCCCAACTTTTCATTTGGAGGTTTGTGGTACTACATCAGCCAGTAATTTATATCTGATGAAAAGGAGCTTGTACAAAGCAGTTGTCAATTTTATGAACAAATGAGTTTGATCCTTAATTTATGTATGGTCCTTTGAATTTCGCACATTACTGAATTCTGTTTTCAGGCTTAAATAAGGAAATCATACAAAGCCTTCTTAAACTTACAAATTAAAGGACAGTGAAACAGTCACGATATGTGAGGTCATGTTACATGATGTGACCTTTCCACTCTAACAGAAGCTCTGTTTAAACACATAAAAAAATTGGCTGATTACTGTTTGATTTCCAAATAGCTGTTTTCTTGGAGTGTTGATTAAGAGCTGGCATTTCTTTTGGTTAGTGTCTGGGCCAAATATTGTTCAATATTTATGGAATGATCATATTTGTTGAAATGATTTTGATCTTCACCTCTGGTGTACAGTATGACGTGAGATCACAGAAAGAAACAATTTTGATTTCAAGGTTTGGAAATTATATTGAACACCGAGGCACTCATATCAACATAATAATTTTTTTAGCACCCCCCACAGCTGTAACAAGACCAATCAGACATGGGTTTGGTGTGAGAGGTCCATTGTCGTCACCAACTCAGCGAAAACTGCTAATCCTAATGAGAGGGTTACCTGGCAGTGGAAAGACTTTCCTTGCACAGTTAGTATTGTAAACAAAAACACCATGGTCAGTCCATCTTTGGTGCAGTTCTCTTGAAAGCTAAATTGATCTTTTGAAACAGGTTGCCCCAGGCCATCCTTGCAAGCCATACTTGCTTCGTGATTTTTAAGTACTACTTTTTTTGTATTAAACAAGTACTGTGTATCATGAGCGTTCACACATGTAAGCATAAGTGATGATAAAGGATACATTTCCCATTACAAAATCATCTGGAATTTGTTTTTCTTGCAGGAAGCTCAAAGGCCCTCGTGGTGTTGTGCTCTCAACAGACGACTACTTTTATAGGAATCACCGGTAGTTAAGTTACTAAGTCACCAAAACAAATTAGGCAAACATTTGTAGAATAATCAGTAGGTATTGAAATTCACTTTACTCTAGCACTGCCTCTCCTTTCCCAGGAATAAAACTTAAATATTTAAAAGGATTACTCAGTTTGTTTCATGAGGTATTAGCTCTACAGTTGTCATGGTTCACTTTAGTGGGCAGCAAACAAATATATACATGCAAGTGAATGGCAAATTTGACACATTTGACAAATTTGACACATTTTTAGAACACTGTAGAATGTTTTAACTGAAATACTGGAGCTTTATTTCATGATACTTTCCCTTACCCTGATAAACACTGAGTAACAAAAAATACAGGGAAGATAATTGGCATTCTGGGTGTGAGATGATAATGGCTCTCATGGGAAGAAAATAAAGAGCTACTGGATAACGTAACAACAATCACTCTGTTTTATTATTGGAAGGTGTCATTGTCCTTTTTAAAAAAATGAGCTTGTATCTTGATCTTTTTTATTGGTGGTAATAGGAGTGGTTCTTATAAATTAAATCTATTTATTTCCACTTTGTTATCATCTCATAGTTTTAGGTTGAAGGGTTTTTGCATCTAAACCTCACTTCTCTCCTTTTTTTAGTTATGAATTTGATGGTAGCTTTCTTGGAGAAGCACATGAGTGGAATCGATCCAGAGGTACTGCTGTATTTCCCACAAAAGTATTTTTCAGTGAAACCAAAAGTGATTGTATTATATCTGTCCAATAAACCCTGTTTCTTCTTTTGCAGTATCAATATATTGTGTATCATGCAAACCTCTTGTGACTCAAAGTAGTTTAAACTTCTTTTTTCTTACTGTAAGTGGAGGCATGGTACATCTGTTGGTGCTCTCAAATTGCATCACACAGTTGTTACTTGTTACCCTGTCACTAGGCAAGAAGAACTGTATGAATTTGTACACTACATTCATATTTGCATGGAAAATGAAAAAAGAGGCTGTTAATTGGACTATTGAACTTGGGAAATTATTTTAAAAGCAATAAGTGTGAAGATCTAAACATTAACCTTCCTACTGCAGCTAAAACTGCTTTGGAGTCACAATGGTCTCCTTTGATCATTGACAACACCAATACACAGTCATGGGAGATGAAGCCTTATGTATCTATGGTAGGTATTCTGTTGTTCTGTCTTTAGTCTCTGCATTTAGTGATTAGGTATATCTACAGCCAATACAGGAGAATGAAAAATTATGTTGTTGCAAGTGTGAACATAATAATACAGACAACACAGAAAAGTGGTGATCAACTCCCCAAAAATGATGCTTTCTCAACCAATGAAAATCCAGTTTGGGTAGGTTTTGAAAGATCATAGTCTACCCTATAATAATTAGTATTTTAAAGTTGGCTAAACTGATTTCCAGGTTAAAATGTAACTTATTCTCTCTTGATGATTATTTTGTAGGCATTAAAGTATGGTTACCACATCAAAATTGTTGAACCTAACACTCCATGGAAATGGAATGTGAAAGAGCTTGTCAGGTGGATGGAAATCTCATTTGCTTTTCTGATTTTCTAACATTGTAGTTTTTAGTTTTCTGAAGGAGAGCATACTGCTATCTCACAGCAACTCTCTCCAGGCTCTCTTCACCAAGGGTCAGAAACTGGACTAACCTCACGACATACCTGCTGAGTTGAACTGGTGTCCAGTCAGCGAACGAAAACTAAATTACCTTTATAAATTTATTTTCTACAAAACCTGGTTGCCGTTTGATAAGGTTTGTTCTTGTAAAATACAAACTGATTTTACTCTTGATTTTATTATTAAGACGGAATCAACATGGAGTGACTCATGCGGCAATTACAAGAATGAAAGAACGTTATGAACATGACCTCTCTGTGGAAGCCTTAAAGAAATATGAGGGAAAGCCTGACGCAAGGAAGACTGAGAACGAACTTACGACTAAAAAAGCAACTGATGTAAAAAGTTACAGCGGTGGCCCCAGTTTACAAACTTCTTCCAAACAAACAGGTTCTGGTAACGCTATTATGAGACAAACGGAGAGCTCTACAGTCTCCTCAAATAAAAGAACTGCTTCAAAACAGGAAGAGAGTGGAAATATAAGCTCTCTAAAGTATGCAGAATGCGTAAACACGCCATCAGTTGATGATAGTGTTCGTGGGCATACGGAGCTAAGCTCGAGAAGGTTCGATCGTCCAGAAGAAACTTATTGTAAATCAAAAACTGGAAGAAGTGAAAAAAGTGAGTGTAATTCTAAAATTCATGAGATTGTTAACGCCGGTGATAAAGGAGAACGGGCAGATGCTGTAATTTCAAGTTTTAGTCCTGAGCCACAGCGAGCGCCTCGGATGAAAATCAAGAGGTTGTCAAATACTCAACAGCTTGTCACCACAGAGTTGTCGTCACACGATAGTGGAAATAACAAAAGCGATAAATTCTGTGGCACCGTAACTTCACATGAGAATCACGCGATACTCCATGAGATTGACAATTCCAGTGAGCAGAATACACCCAAAAAACACAGTGCAGTATTTTGTGTTGAAAAGTTATCAGCACTCGCATCCTTAGCTTGCACTCGAACGTTTTCTTCGTCTGACCATATAAATAAAACTCTTGAAAAAAGCCAGCGTAGGTTGCAAACGGTGAAAGAGTCAAAGTCATCACTCTCGCCTCCCTTAGACAGTTCGTTTGTAGGTCAAACTTCTGATGAAAATAGGCATTATGTTAAGTGTGTCGGCGAGGGACATGAAAAAGGTGAACGCACTGGCGAAACGTACACAGGAGAAGCCAGTAAGGAAGCGCTTGTTTCATCAACGGTCATTTGTGATGAATATCTTGAAAGTGATAAGTCTTTGCCTCTTAAAAATATCCTTGACGATGACGCCATTTTCAGAGGTGACAATACCGCGCCATCTGGAGAAATGGAGGGCAAATATTTCCCCACACCACCGCCCTTGTCGGAAATTCTGGTCTCAGCCTCGAGAACGAAGTTGAAAAGTCGTTCAAAGTCCACTAGCAAACCACTGCAGCTAGTTACAGACAACGTGAACTCACTTGTGGATAATAGTGATCAACTGCGTTCTGAAACGGCGCTGGAACAAGAGGTTTGTGATGGAAAACCAGATCCAGAAAACAGAACATTCGATGAAGATGTTTCAACTGATGAACAGAACATGTCTGATGTATCTTGCTTGCTTGATCCACCACAGCCGAGTTCATCCGAGAACCCACAGAATCAGCGGCATGCTGGGCTGGAGTTTTTAAAAACATGTTTCCCGGACGTGGACTGTGATTTAATAAATGCGATTTTGACCGCGAAGGGTGGTGATTTGACTAAAGTGGTTGACGAATTACTCGTTCTTTCTAAAGCTTCCTCAGCCGAGTTATCGACATTTCCAGCGGATCCACTTTTCTTTGCCTCCCAGCAAGAAATCTCTGACTCTTCGAGCTATGTGGCGCAGAAATCGTCAAGTCCAACCGAAGAAACAATGAACACCGCTAGTGCAATCCAACCACAAAGCAATTTTGGTGCTGAAAACAACAAACCTCCTGGTAAACTGTCCTCACAAATGCATTTGGCGCCAAAGGTATCGTCTTCAGCCCAGTCTCCGCCTTCAAACGCTGGTTCATCTTTTCAGCTGTCCCTTGAGCCCGCAGTTGCCTTGCACCTGATTGAGTTGTTTGGTCCATTTCCTGGAGTTGACTTCAAGGGTCTGTATAAAGACTGTTCCTTCATTTTTTCTTTTTTTTTTTTAATTTCTATCCTTCGAGTAGATATCTCTTCATTGTGTTCAATGTATTAGCATCGTGTTGTTTTGGAGAACGAGTACACCGAAAGACTTTGAAAGAAATGTTAACAGAGTTGTTGAAAAGGAGACTTCAAAGACTTAACACATTTTTTTTTCATATAAACGAGTTACAAAAGAGACGTAAAGCTACTTACAAGCTTTTGCGAGAGTTTGCCTCGTTGTATTGCTTTATAGTTTTGATTCTTTTCATACGTCCTCATTACCGATACGGAATCTGCAGTATCGGTCAAGAATACTTACACTCCAAATAAAATTCGGACTGAGAGATATACAGCTAGAGCGTAATATTCAGCTATTGCAAATGTAAAGTCAGCACTGATGACAACTAAATTGCTGCCTATTTGTTATTTCTACTTGGCAGAGAATATAAGTCAAGAAGATTTAGTCGTAGCTGTAGACAGCTCGTTAGCAAGACAGCTGTACAAAAAATGGGAGCACACTATTCAGGTATATACTTTAATACTGTGAAATCTTTACTGCTCTTCTTCAATGTTTAAAGCCTTGAACTCAATATCGTCCATAAATTTGCTACTAGTAACGCCTTACATAGAAGCACCATATAATAAAATTCATGTTCGTTGGCAATTATTCGAATACAGAGTAAGGAACTGTTAATTTTACCATCACATCATATCACATTTACTCTTATCGCGACTAGGTGTCATTTAAAAGCCATTTGTAAACTGTGCGTAATGTTATTTAAGAGTCAAAGTCTTTTTTTGTCATTGTAGACAAGAAAGGGGATTTCTGCTGCTAACGTAGGTAAGAACAATTATAGTTTTCGGTTTTCATGTAGCCCTGCTGAACTTTAGACTCAGTTAATTACTACAAATAAGTGTCTGAAACTTGATTTCTAATGATCATCGATTCTCTCAACTCTCTTTTTTATCAGTTGTATTAAAGAAAATTATTTTATGATAACTTTAGGATTTAAACACAAAGCGAAAAGGGAATTAACCGTTAATAACCAATTGGGTGGCGATCAGATCTCAGCTGAAGGTGAGCCATCAACTCCTCGTTTCCTTACAGAATCCCAGGCAGTTATAACAAACCCCTTATTACATTTACTTATTGTGCATTTGCCTAGTGAACTGAACAGACACCTTTTTGAGTCATTTTGGTTATTGGTTATTTTTAGGAACCTTGAGAGAGATAATGGATGAACAACTTGCATTGGAACTCAGCAGAAATGTAGGTGTGCGTTTCATGACCGATTCAAAGTGAAATTCAGCCTCGTAATTGGTTAATTTTTCTTTTGATTAAGCTGCCTGATGTGGCTGAGCAAGATTTGGCTGCGAAACTAAAGAAGCAGAAACTTTTTGAAATGTTTCCTGGCATAGATCGTGTGGCGTTGGAGGAAGTCTTTCAAGCTAATGGGTATGATTTTCTGCGCTTATTAAACAATTTTCAACAGCAGTCAGCTAGGTCCGATGAATAAAAAACTTTCTTCTTTTCACAGGTATGAATTGGCGCCATCAGTCGAAGCTGTGAAAGCGTCTTGTAATTTGTCAAGTCAAGACGCTCCTACCACTGTTATCGCATCAGGGTTTAGCGGCCGCCTTGTTAATCAAAAACCAACAAAAGAGGTACAACTTCTCATTTGTGACATGGTACACCGATTACGAATTTTTGTGACATCTATCCCAATATTCTTTTTGCCAGAAAATTGAAGAAGACTGGAGCTGGTTAGACTTGGATGGTGAGGGATTTCGATCAATTTTGTAACTGATAGGTTCGATGTTGCTATGCAAACGAGCTCTATAGTAGTGCAAAATTCTGTAAACCCATATCAGCGCAAGACTTTGAACACGTTAGATTTTAATTTCGTCAGAATTTCGCCTTTTCACGTTTGGGGTATTTGTGTTTTCAGTGTCCTCTCGGCCAAAATCAGACTCATCCTCGTTTCAGACCCTTGAAGATCCAAGCTACCTGGACTACCGCGCTGAGGCATTTCAACACTACAAGTCAAGGGATGAGTGTTTTAAGAAAGCAGCACTGGCCTTTTCCAAGAAACAGGGGCAGTTGGCACAATTTTATGCCCAGCAAGTATGTGCAGATGCCGCAAAACAACAACACCAAACAAACAAACAAACAAACCAAACCAACAGACAAGAACATTGAAAAAACTGTAGTGTCATAAGCAACAAAAAATAAAGAATAACAATGATAAAGTAAGAGGTACTTCTGATTCTTATTTGAAACTTAGATGTATTCTGTGTGATCTCTTTTGGTGGAGTCCAAAGCAGCCATACGTTTTCCTCTGACTGACGAAATAGCCTAAAAAAAAAACAGCTCCAAAGATACACGTGCTTTTCCACTTCCATTGTAGTTACACTATGGATATCAACAAAAATATAACTCAAACTTTGGTAGCATTCAAAACTGAACAAACTGCCTCAATGTGGAAACGTTTTGACTCTTTCTTTTCTTCTTTCTTTCCTTCTTTCTATCATTGCAGGGTCATTTGCACACCGAGAAAATAAAAGAAGCCAATGCACGTGCAGCGGCATTAATTCTGGACCAAAAGTAAGCTAAACAAGTTCAATAGACTGGCTTATTGCTTATATTTAGATGCTTGTAAGAGATTTGGTTTTGTTTGATCTACCACTGTAGTTTCACAGTCATAGACAGATGGTGGTCCAAGTGAATTATAACTATGTGATCCATCTGAGACATAAGGAGGATGTCAGTGCGGTGGATCAGGGAAGAAAGAGAGCGAATGTGCGCAATCTCAGACGTGTCCAAGTAGTATGATCATATCTGACAAGAAGTGCGCCCTCGGTATTTTAAAACTTTACTTTATTTTTCTTTAAAAGAAAAAATGACTTTTTGCGACTCTTTTTCGAGGTTGGATACAGAAGAGTACATTTCCGGCAAGGTTCTCAGTAGGCATACTTGATTGGCATATCACATAATGTGGTGCTTTTTGCGTTTCTTTTTTACTTCAGGAATGAGTTGACGGACGATAACACGATTGATTTACACGGTTTGCACGTTACTGAAGCCATCGAGGCTCTTGAAAATATGCTGAGCGAACGAATTGGTACGTTTTTAAAGGAAATGTGGAGTTGATTTTGTACCAAAAAATCTTAGTATGGCTCTCACACTTAATTGCATGGTCATTTTGTATACTGAGGCATTCTTATAATCAAGTTCTTTGATTCTGGTTATTTATCCACTAGAAAGAATATCTTCTTGGGATGTTCGATGGTATGATTGAATTTCATGAAAGCTAGGTGGAAGAATGGTCTTCTATAGAAATTTCCTGTGATACACAGGAACCATTAACAGTAATCATTTGAACAACAAACATATGAAATACATATATATGAACTGCGGTTATGAAACGTATATGTGCACGATCCTTCGCAGTAAAGCACTATTTAAGCAATAGTGAAAATCTGATTTTCACTATTGCTTAAATAGTACTTTACTGCGAAGGATCGTACACATATACGTTTCATAACCGCAGTTCATATATATGTATTTCATATGTTTGTTGTTTGATTTATTATCTACGGGTTTATGTCGAATTAATTTGATGGCCTGCTCCCAGTTGGCTTGTTAGCTCAATTGGTAGAGCGCTGCACTAGTATCGCAGAGGTCAGTGGTTCGAATCCCGTACAGGCCTGAATTTTTTTCAGGTCTGATTTTCACTATTGCTTAAATGGTGCTTTACTGCGAAGGATCGTGCACATATAGTAATCATTTGATAATCATGTTCGTTTTTCTAGCTGTATAATGGCTCCAGCTGCCCACTTAGAGACAATGACATGTTTTCTTTTTTCTTCAGACTCTTGTGGCAGTCTGGCCAGGAAAGGTTGCAAGTTCATCAATGTTGTAACAGGAAGAGGGAATCACAGCCGCGGTGGTAAAGCCCGAATAAAACCGGCCATCACAGACTATCTCAAAAAACACAACTACAGGTACGAAGACCTGGTATATAGTCAGCAGTTTTCACCTTGGTAGCCTGGCCGTCTTTTAAAAAAGGCCTGGAAGAAATGTATCCTTTTTTTTTATTTTCCTAATTAGGTTCAAAACAAAGTGTGGGCGAAGTTTTAGCGAAGTCTGGGTATCGCGTGTGTGTGTGTTGAAGGGGGAGTCATCTTAAATGTTACATCGAGCTTGATTTAATCTTAATTGGAAGAAATGTATTCTTTTTTTTTTTTCTTTTTCTAATTAGGTTCAAAACAGGGTTTGGGCGAAGTTTTAGCGAAATCTTGGTATCGCGCGCGCGCGCGCGTGTGTGTGTGTGTGTTGGGGGGAATGGGGGGGGGGCGGGAATCATTTTTAATGCTACATCGAGCCTGATTTAATCTTAACTAATGTTTATTTTTACCTTAAAAGGTTTACCGAACCACACCCTGGCCTCGTTAGAGTTTTCCTATAGCTGCAAAGTTTTTAACCATGCTGACACGATTGGACGTAACTATATATATGTTTCTTGCAAGAACCTTGGGTTTAGAGAACGGGTCCAAGTTATCTTGATTTGTTCATTAAAGAATTCTTTTCTTAGGAATGATCGCAGTGAAGACAGATTTAAGAAATTTTAAATACCTGTAACTACAATTATCTTAGTGTATGTGCAATGTGAAAAAGCAACGTTATGTAGTGTTCGTGTCTAATAAATGATATTTTCATGACCCTCTCCTAATAATGAAAATGTAAGCGTTCTGATATGTGCCAAGCGAAAGGTTACACGTGCAACGGAAAGCCGCCTTCCATGTCGCGTGACTTGTGTTTTACGTTGCCTCCCGGGTAACGGGAAAGTCCATTATCATGAGATACGTTTCTCATGAAGCAGATGAATCGACAAAATTAATGCCAAAGGTTTATGTAAAGTGACCGTGTACGATTCGTAAGTGCTCTTTGCAGTTTATGCGCCATAATGGCCTATCAATAGCTGTGTAGAGTTTTCGTTCTAACTTGAAACTTGCAGTAAGAACGTCATACTCGGTTAAATGCAATTCTAAAATGACTCGAATACAGTAAACGAATATGCTTGGTTCGTTTAAAGAGAAAATTTTTCCTTTGCGACCGGCTGATTTTTATTATTTTCTCGGTAAGAAAGTTTCTATGAAACTCGACATTTCATTCCTTTTCTTACAATCGAACGCTACGAAACCGTCAAAAACACAAAGCAATTAGTGTGTGGGTTGAAAACACGTAGGCTTGGTTGAATTTAATGGCTTTCCGGTTTACCATGTTTCAGGAAACCCATAGTTTTTCATTATCCTAATTTACCACCCTTTCCTCTGTTTACTATTTGTTCGGTGGTTGTTATTCTTCATGTTTATTATATACACACAGTGATAGTCTATGATATGACGTCATTGCGATAACTATCCTCGTAGAAGGTTTGCGATCGTAAAAGTGTTTACTTCACATTACTCTCAATCCATCCTGAAATAGGAACTAAGCGGAGTATCTTTAAAATTTGGGTAACTAAATTCATCAATGCTTTACCAAAACTGAAAATAGCAAAAAAAAAAACAAAAAAAAAAAGAATCGTGTTATAAACATTCTAAGGACTCATTGCGGTTTATCAGCAAAAGACAATGCAGGCCGAATAGCAGTGACAACATTCTCCGTCGGGATTCGGTTCTTACCTGGTTGATAATCAAAATACAAGCTCGTATAAACAATGTGGGAGTAAGCTTGAACGCAATCTTTGATGTTCTAACCGCTTATGGGGGCGGCTAACTGGCTATGAGTTTCATTTTTAATTCAGTAGAATAATATTTGGCTTAGTTGGTTTAGAGCTTATGTAGTATATCGTTCACTGATATAGTTTATTTCTAATGTTTTAAAACCACTGAGTTACTCAGACGTGTATTTCATATATTATGCGTTACTTCAAATTGATGGTAACAAAAGCTCCTTCATTTCCACGCCAACAATGTTGGTTGAAAACTGCAAGTCACGAAAACTGCCTGCAAGTTCGTTAAACAAATGTACAGTAAGTGTCAAGAGTCCACTGTAATTTTCACAAAGTCCTAAAAAGTCAATTACGTTCTGAAAGTTCAGCCTCGCTTTTTTTCATAACACCTTTAACCTCCCGTGTCATTTTATGAAAATTGAAGAGCATGTAAAATATGTCTTTATCGTCGTTTTTGTTTAAATTATACCAAAAAAGGAGACGAAAAAACCAAACTATATTTTCAGATTGAACGGAAAGAGCTTGGAGTAGTAAGCAGAGCAGTTGGAACAGACTGGACCTGCAGCGACTGAAAGTTTTATATTTCCGCAAAGAGTTCTTCAACTGCAATCATCTCCCTTACTCTTGAGTGGCCAAACGATATCTTAAACTGATACGATATAAGGTTGCCTTTTTTAATAACACACTAAAGTTTGGCTATTGATTCGCATAATTTGGTGCGTGAATGTCATCCATAATCCTCTCTGTGTTATCAGATCACTTTTCAAAGGCAGGAAGCGTTGCAAGGGGCCTACTCGAGAAAGCTAATTTACTTTTAGGAAAAGGAAGTGCAGTTGAGATGCTCGCATCGGATGGTGTAGTTTGTGACAGGCAATATGCCAGAGTAAATTCTTGTTATGCATGGGCTGCTCTAAACAATGGCTCGTTCATTATAGGTTTTGTGGAAAGTGTGAATGAATCAGTTCAATTAGCTACAGAGTGCTCTCCGCCCTTTGATCAAATAAATCTCTTTAGGCAAAGCGTTCAAGTTGCAAACGAAGCCATTCATAAAAGCTCCTTTGTTAGCGTTTTAACACATCACGCGTTAACATAGTTAAAATAACCTTTGGACAAAATTATCAACGTTTTGCTGATGTATTTAATATCAGAAACGCGTGTAAGACTTCAGTGTTAACGCTTTCCAATCAGTACATTTGAAGGATACATTAACAAGAACTTTCAATGTCTCGGCCTTCTAACGCTTAAGTCTATAATTTTTATTTCAGCGCGCGTGAATGGCTAATCCTGTTTCAGCAAAGCTAAGGAACGTGCACCCCTTAATTTCCCCTTCTCCGCCCCCCTGATAGTCCTTTTGTTGCTCTAACTCGTTAGCCTTCTCTTTCCTCGAATTTCTTTCTCGTGATTGTTGTTAGAATTTCCTGTTTTGAAGTCGTTATCAAGACGATTCCCGCCTTTTCACTGATTTTTGACGACTTGACGAACAACGACAATCGTGAAAAAGCTGAAAGCGTTCTCGTAGGTGTCAATTGCATGATTCATGGCGTGCAACAGTGTGAAAAGAGTGCTATAATTAATACGAACCTCTCCACAACACGCTACAAAGAACAAGCCAATCTCATTGACGCAACAAAAGAACGGAACTATTGTTTTCTAAACGGAAACAGCGCCCGCTGTGGTTTTCATTCCTATTTTTTTGGCTTTCTCTGTAACAAGAATTTAAGAGGCTCTAACAGCTCAGTTTTATTAGACTCGCAAGGTCTTGCTTGAATCAAAGGTTCTGCAGGACACCTTTTAAAAGAACCGCAGATCCTATATAGAAATTACTGTCAAAACAAAGTGATAGGAAGATCAATTCGCACGTCGAACTGTCAAGTGACTTTTGAAAACTGCACTTATAAGTGGCTGTAAATGCGATTTACATGTTCCCGCTAGGGAAGTTTGACACGTACTCTGTCCAACCTTAGCAGTTGTACAGTTCCTGCTGAAAAATTGTCGCTACGCTTTTAAAGTCTCTCACTTTGTTTACTTCAGGTATGTTCATTCCTTTATCAGTTTTATTTCTCTCGCTCTGGTTTCGTTCATCCGTTTTCCTCAAATTTTCCACTAAATTCATCAAAGCTAATATCATTGATTCTTCAATTGATTGGCCCAGCTGTTAGTGAGAATGCTACATTCCACTGATATTGGGACGCCTTTGAATCGCGCATAAAACAGAGGTTAATTCCTTGAAGACATTTTATTTGCAGCAGTACTTACGCTCTGGAAACATGTCTCTATCAAATGTGGTGCGACGCACCGTCGTCCTGTTCATTTTAGTTCTGTCAAATACTTCACTGAGTTCCGCAAATCAACACAGTGCAAGAAAAAATGTCAATGAAGTCACAACCACAAGGTCTCAACCGAAAAATCCCTTACTAAAGACTCCTCAAGTCGACCATGAGCTGTGCAAAAAACCGATTTTTCCAATTCTTCCCCCCGGCTGGGCCCTACCACGTTCCTTGTGGTCTGTCCGCGCCATGATGTTTCTGCAGATTTTACCGGACGGCACAATTAACGGAACTCTGAAATTCCATGAACACGGTAAACTTGTTATCTTATTTAAATTTTTTATTTCATCCATCTCACATGACCTTGGTTCATTCACTTTAACTCGGGATCAACGAGCTGTTGACTCAATCAGATAGCAATTGCACGCAAAGCTAAGACACTAGGCACGAGTTAGGATTTACGACATACGGAAACTCTAGCAATGAAATATTCGTGTTTAGTAAACGTTTTACTGCGGATTTCGAGCTTACGTACCTTTGCGTTTGGATTAATCATAATCACTTAAGTACGGTTATTACAAATGTTTTGTAAGTTTTAGTTCTCCTTGGCTTCCACTCGGCAAGAGAATGTGTCAGTGTTCTGATGTGTTTATCAAAGTCACAGGGTGTATTCCTTTAGAACTTGGCTGGGGAGGTGAGCTCCTACGCAGAAACCCCAGCATGAAGCTCAGCGTGTTGTCATCTCACCCAGGGAGACCACAAGAAACATTACCCCAAGGGAAGTTCATTCCCTCCAGTATCCATTTTTCCGTGGCGGTATTTCGTAACTCAAGTGTGTACTGTTATGTTTAATTTAAAATTCCATTTACGAACATTTTCTCAGGTCTGTTTTTTTACCTTAGTGTAATTTTGGTTCACATCTAGTGAGAAATAAGAAAACCGCAAACCGTGAAAACAAACAGATATTTGTCGGCTTTCCATCAAATGTTTAATCTACAATATCAAACTCTCTGTCGGCTTTGTTTTTCCCGTTTGTTAATGTCTTGTTACAAGTAAACAATTTTAATGTGTTATGATGTTATTCTGCCCAGTGACGCAAATCCAACGCGCTCGGCAAATCTGGACGCCGACGGACTCAGATTTGACATAACAGTTGGAAAGTCTATTACATAAGGGTTATTTTATTGTTATTACGATGTAATTACAATGTTTGAGAGGGGTTCGGAAGTGAGCAGTTTTTGTAAAGTCTCCATGTTTCCCGCTCAGCACTGATCCATGGATAAGTTTCCATGTTATCATTTTAATGAGTGCACCTTCGAAAATAACGCTTTTACGGAGTGCATTTCATCATTCATTTTTAAAACTGACCGCAGCTACGAGTATCCCGGCTGTTTAAAATAAAGAGTACTAGCGGCCGCCTTACTTAAGTGACAGATCAAGTAAGCTTAATGCAAGGTCACCTACTGTCAAATATCTTCTGCAGCTTTACGGATGTAAGTTGGGCTCTATGAACTTTTTCGCTTGATATAGTTTCTTTGATTAATTTTAGAATGGCCGTGCTATTTAGAAATTTTCAGACACAGACGAATATGCGCTATTTTCTGCTTTCCTCTACATACTCGCGTGGAATTGGAGTCTGTGCATGAAAATTCGCATCCAATTTAAAAGGTCTGTAACTTCTGGCGTTTGAGAGACAGAAGACAGGAAGTGGAGTTCACTTCTGTATTGAGTCAGCTTACCGAGATCTCGAAAGATATTTTGTAAATGTATTGGACTTCATACTAAAGTCCAAGTTTAGTTAATCTTGACTCAATATTGATTTGATTTCTGAATGTTTCAATCCGCTGTACCTCGCAGCTTGGACTTCGTGAATGCAATGCAATAAAGGCGTGCAGTTTCTTCAGCAGTGTTGTTCAAAATTAACAAATTGCAACATTCTTAAAACACTTTGCAACTATAATTTGAGTGGTCAATATGGTATAATTTAATTTTATCTTTAGAGCATAAAACTGACCCTTAGTCAAACTGGTCAACATACTGATCCGTTTGGTTTGTTTGATTTAACAGCAAAACTAGCATTGGAAGTAGTCGACAACTGTAGTGTAAGGATAAAAGGCGTGGCCACTGAAAGATATCTCGCTATGGGGGTAAATGGAACTCTTGTCAGCCAGGTGAGGATTTCTGATGGGAGCTAGCGCGGCTTCCTTTTCAAATTCGCGAGCGATTCTATTTGGAATTCAGTTATGGTTATCCTGTGATGCAATCACATATAGAACCAAGTACTCACCACTTAACACTTTTTCTCACTTATGTGACTCCTGACATCTAAGTTGCTGTGTGTTTAACACTCACTGAATGTGTACTTTTTTCTTCCAGATTGATCCAGACCGAATCAGATCCATTTTCAGAGTTCAGCTACAGAAGGAATTTTTTACATTCAAAAATGGCGAATTTTTCATTGCGCTTAAACATGGTGGCACCACGAAGAAAGTTAGAGGAAATCAGAATGGTAGAAGCAATCGGCGGAGCACTCGCTTTGTACTGTTGGACCGAACACCGAGAAAACGAAGATTTCCGTCAGCTCTCGGCTCACCGAGAATGAAAGACTTTGAGCCGAAACTCTTTGAGGGTTTGCAGAAGCGCTAACCTGAACGAAGGAACAAAAACCGAATTTCCTGGTAAAATATCAAGTCTTGACAACCATATATATAGCATTTGCAGTTCAAAGTCTTGAGTCTGACTACTCATTTTGTCTCAGTTTTTTTTTTTTTTTTTTCAGTTAAGTATGAGCAAAACAGCAATGGGAGCAGTTCAACTGTTTTGTTTTGTTCACCTAAAAGTGCATGCTAAATCAAGTTGTGTCGCAGCAGAGCCTGAAATGAAGAGAAAGGTGTTGTTATTCTCTCTACTTCAGTTCCTTCTCTGCAACTCCAAGTTCGAATTAGGAAATCATTTAACACAAACATAATGAGAACTAAATTACCTTTTTTTGCTAGTCAAAAATCGGACAGAAGATAGCTTTGTGATATTGAGACCTCAGTGGTTCCAAAAAGATTACGCGCGCTTGAATGAGCCAATCACCACAATTCTTAGAGCCGATGCAATGTACCAGCAGGACTGAGTCCGATGACCCGCAGTTCCAGACCTTCATCAATTAAGTACTTCTCGATCAAGAGTCATTCAGGGTCTGGGAAACGCCACATATTTTCAAACACACACGCAGCACAACGCACCGTGAATTCCTTTTGACGTAGTTGGTCGCATAACTCTAACACTTTGGCTTCCCAAAGCGTTTTAAGAAATACAACTTACTTTTATAAGGGCTACATTTCGGTCATTCAAGTAGATGATGTAAATCGTATTTGTCAGTGTAGTAAGAGATTAACTGTTGGAATTAAAAAGTAAATTAAAAATAAGCTCTATAGCTGTAAATAAACTTATTGTGGTATGTAACAATTTTTTTTTTCGGACCGGGGAGACCGCGTCATACGGTATACTGTAAGGAACCCTGTTAGGCCTTCACCACATAGATACAGCGAGGTAAAAAAGTGTCCGTTTTAATGCCAACCAATAAGATGAAATATCAACGTCACTTTTTATTCCTATTACAAACGCTCCGTTCTCATCAACCTTTTTATCTGAAATATAGGCGATAACGAATCAGAAAGAATATATTTTAAAATAACACACATTTGTGTTGTTGGGGTCAGAGATGATCTTTTCATATGGTCCAGGCAGTAAAAGATCATTGTTCAACACAATGAACAGCCGCTATAAAACCATATTTTATCCAACGAAAAGCACCAGAGAAAAATATCGTCAATTGTTTTTCCTTTTGTTGTGTTAATCTTTGTTTAGAAAATAGCACTGTTTCCTAGACAACTTATACGCTGTTCAGTTTTACATTGATTGGCAAAAACTTGGTCGTTAATTTGCAATTCAGATTCACTGAAGATTTATTTTGTGTTCGTTTGTCTTAGTTCTTATTTTTGTCTCGCACATGTTCTCCTTTTGCTTTGTTTTTGAGCTTTTGTAAGTTTGTTTTAACCGATTCTGTTAAACTGATCTAGCGATATATGTTTGAGCAAAATAACAAATTTCATACAGTATTAGCTACAGAAATACGCAAAACAAGAGGCTTTCAAATGTAAATACAATACAGCAGATGTGTACACTGTCAGAAATTAAATTTGCGAGTCAAAATGTGAGAGTGCACCAACCATTATCTACTATAGGCAACAGGAAACTTTACAAGATCAACTTGTTATTTTCAAGAGTTCCTCATACAACACAAGAAGAAATATTTTCTCAGAGCAAACAACATTCACTCCAAGACAAAGACGGACAAGAAACTTTATTCTGTATGTGGAACATTTTTCTGGTTCTAGGACAGGATATCACAGATTGCATGTTTGACGAAAAAGCCGTAAGTCCATCTGTAAAATTGGAATCATGATATTCTGAAAATTGGATCTTGTATTCTGATCTCAAGTTGAAAGCTTCTGTCAATTTTGGATGTGACTGAAACGTTTAAAACTCTGCTGTTTTTCAGTCGTTACGGTGAGCGTGCGAATAGAAATTCGGATGAGCCTGAATTTCATCGTTCAGAGTTTACACATCGGTTTACCTTAATTCTTTGCCCGTGGCTTCTCAGGCGGCAAGAATTGTCAGAAGAATCTACGCAATCATAAAATTGAGCAAGCGTTTCAAGTTAAGTTTGATTTTTATTTTCGAGAGGGGTTGTACCCATGGGCGATCAAGTCTTCTCCCGAACCCTATCTTCTTCTTCTTCACACAGTGGGACAGAACGCCGCGCTCCGTCGGTGCAAGCGCTAAAGATCATGGGGGGTCTCGAGGAAGAAGAAAGTAAGCGGGTCACGTCAGACAGTAATAAAGCTTGGTTACAAGGCCCCCACTCTCTATCACGACAAAGTTGTCGCTTTGAGCTTCCAATGGACATGCTTGTTCTTGAGCAACTGTCTCCTTTGCAATACGTATCTCAGTTTTGCCGTGTTAACAGTCGCCGTAAGACTCTCTTTCGACATTATTTCGTTAAAAATGACCGAGATAGGGACGGTGTTATGAACAAGAGAGAACTCCAAAGCGCTCTCCGAGATCTGTACGCCCAGTCCATCGACACTGCACAAGTAAATGCTATTCTCGAACTCTTAGACATCGAGAGATCCATGCGTGCGTTTGATCTGGATGTGTTCACGGCTGTGGCAGCGTTCTCTGAACGCTATTTGTACTACTACTATAGCTTAGCCGTGAATAATCAAACCGAAAGACGAATGGTTTTGGAGGAGACTGACTTCTGTGCCTTGCGCTGGAAACTTGAAGGATGTCAAATCGATGACAAGTTGAAGAATGTTCTAGCAGTGTTATAGCGATCACCTAAGGTCAGATAAACCAAGGCTGCTTTCTTCCTAATCTGATTTCATTATTCTGTGATGGTTACATGTAAGGATAATACAAAGCCATGATACTGTCAATGCGGTTGGTGGTTGGGACTACCTGTCACATGCGCAGTGAAGTGAGCCAGTGTTTCGATGGGTGGGGACGAATGAGAGTGCGGGCACATGCAAAAGTCAGCGGGTCTCGGTCTTCCCAGTCCCCTGATGTTTCCCTTGCTGCTCTTCACCACAGATTGCCAAGTATGGCCCACAGGAGGAGGAGAAGGCAAACGCAGCCTCCGAGGTTATGACCTCTTTGAAAAACACCGGTAGACTTTCCCCAAGTAGCATGATTTTAAGTCTGAACTGACACTCTTGGCTGTGGGCTCGGTTCTGCGTAATTACTTTTCTCGACATACTAGCATGTACTGCTTGCGGCCAAAGCAACTTCATCAATCCGAGTTGAAATAAAGTTACTTACTTAGCTGTAATTATGCCTGTTTCAGGACCTCAGTTAGTCAGGGGGATCTGAAAGGAAGAGCTGGCAAGCGACAAACGGCAGTTGCAGATTCAGGGAAACGACTGCTTCCATAATTTTCCTTTGCCTAAATCACGCCTTTTTCGTCTGTCCGCCTTTCTTTACTCGATTAGCCTAACCCAGGCTGACAAAGGGTTTGGCGATAAGAAAGGGCATGCAGTATTCTAGCTTGGGTCTCCAAAAAGTAACAGCAAGAGATAATGTTTATGAACTCTTGTTCTACATGTATTTATATCAAATTACACACAAAAGAAATGATGTAATCGATAATAGAGTAACAACGACGCTAAATTTCAAAGTGATTTTTCATAACTGGTCTCGATGAATTGAGAATCATATTTACTGTGAGCTGTTTCACTCTGGAAGTAGCACTCCTTATCTACTGAAATTTCAAGTCACACAAATGGATTTGAAAATGTACACATACTGAAATTTTTAAAAAACTAAAACATTTTCTTTGTAACGGGTGCCTTACAAATTTTCAGCTGACTTTACCGACTATATTACCAACATTATTATTATTATTATTATTACTATAGTGGATAAAGGTTTATCATTAGTCAAAAAGTATTAAAATGATTAGTATTATTATCATTATTTTTATTATTCGTTTGGATCATTCCACTATTGCCCTTATTCGATCTACTACACTTATAATGAAATCAGTCTAAAACGGAAACCATCAGAATCCATGAAAGTCCCGCACTTTACAATGATAGTTGCCATAATTCACGAGATAACACGGCTATCTTTAGCCCTTAGGAACCGCTCATTATAACACGGCTATCATTAGCCCTCAGGAACCGCTCATTATTTATCAACTGGAGAGGGGGAGGCGGAGGATTTGGTTCTGTCATGCTAAAATAATTTAACTGCGACCTGATAAGGACCTATTCTCCTTTTTTCGCACTGAAAACCACGTACCCCTACCTCCTCCGACCTCCCCCAAGCAATAAATAGCAACAGCAACAGGGCTGAATAACGTCTGCGCATGTGCGAGATCTCTTGGCTCGCGCTAGGGCCAATGGCCTGGGCACCATAACAAACTTCGAAAAAATGGCGGCGTTTTTAAAAAGTTTCGTATAGCGCCCGGTTTTTGGTGAAAAGGTAGCGCCAGACTGAAAACGGTAGAAAGAAATCTTTACGCTAGTTCCCTCGTTCATTGAACTACACATACACTTTTGTACACTGAGGTTTAAGGGTTGTACACTTAGTGAAAACAGCGCGTTAACACGACAGATTTATCGAAGACTTAGCAGATGACATCTTACGCGGTGTCTTGGATGTTATCGACGTCCATCCTATTGTTCTTTAGTTCCCATGCAAAGCCCAATGAGCGGACTTGGTGGTTTATTAAGCGAACACGAGCTGGAGAAACATGCCAAGGTCGATTGAGGCGGTTTGACGAGGCCATTGCTCGGTTTGTGGACGGAAATTTAAATTCGANGTTGAGGTGTCCGCTGACCAGTAAAATACTGTATCGTGCCCTAAAAAACGTATTTCCGCGGTGTCATCTGGCATGGTATAACACACAGCGTTTGTATTCACATAAATATTAACTTACGACTAGCGCAAGAAAGGTGCCGTTTTGATTACAAAACAAACTAAGATCGTAATACTCACCTCTAGCGACACTTTTCCAAACTCTCATGTTGCCATCAATGTCTCCCAAACATCATTTCTTTCTCAAACGAAGCAGACGAGTGTAAATCGAAACGAAGAACGCGTCGTGGCGGTTGAATCAAAAGGCGTCTCCAAAGCTCAGAATATTTACTGCTTTAACGACAAGTTTTCTCGTATTTCTCGGCATTTCTTCGAGGAAAAATTTCGGATTGTTCAAATTTTCATTTTCCAAAGCATAAAAAGGAGATATTTGTGTTTAGGTGCAAAAATAATGGAAGACTTTCAGTTCCTTTCTTGTCGTTATTCAACTGAAGAGGAAAGAACCACGCATCACGCTCGCGCCGAAATTTTGATGTTGTTGTAATGACATCTCGCACATGCGCAGACGTTATTCAGCCCTGTCAGTAACAGCCGAACCAACAACCGAAAGAATAACCGCGCGAGACTGGTCTCTCTACCCATGGCGCCGCGCGCGCCTGTAACTTCCCTGTGACTTCCTGTAAATCTTGAGTTGTGGCAAAGAAGTTGGCGACAAGAATGTGGACCTAAGCGTGATACAAACTGTTGTTTGACCCTTTTATAATCAAACATAAGAAGAAAATTAAGAATGGCTAATATTGCTATAAAGAGAGTTCAGAGGGAATTCAAAGAGGTCGTCAGAAGCGAGGAGGTTTGTGTTTTTATTTGTTCTTTCGTAATGGTTTTGCATTGCACATCTCTCATCTTTACCTGCTAAATTTCTATGCAAATCCTTATAATATTTTTACATATGATTACTTTGAACGAAATGAAATGTTGACTTATATCTTTTTGTAACAGTTGAAGTGCAAAGTTGAACTGGTGGACAACTCGTACACGAGGCTGCGAGGGGAAATAGCTGGACCTCCAGGCACTCCTTTCGAAGGTATGATTGTCACTGTGCGGACGTGCTCGTGTGCCTGTTCAAACAACGAACATTTTAAAACTCCCTCTATATAAAATTTCCTTCAGATTTCGGTGAATTTTTTGTTTTTGAATCTCCACTGACCATCGAAAATGTGATTATTGTAGTTGCATTTGTAACCTCGCAAATGATGTAATACTAACAGTGTATCCCGGGAAATGTCTGTTTTGAAGAAACCCACTGTAACAGTAACTAATAATGGTACCAATCCGAAATAACAGTGGTTTCTTTAGTTCAAACCTGTTACTCTGCCAACCCTCAGATCCAGTGTAGTGTAGTCGTGTAATGACATTAGTAGCTTTCACTTAACTGCAGGTTGACACCTTAAAACAATTTTGTATATATGCAAATGAAGCCATAAACGTAAGGAGGGGAATGAATGGGGGTATGGAAATCCACAGATCTGCTGTGATTTATAACCAAATCTGTAGATTATATGAGAAAAAGTTGAATCCGAATCAGTTTACTTCTTGACGTGGAGATTTGTGAAAAACATACCTTAAGCTTTTGTGTGCTAAACAACTTTGAATATTGTTCAAACCATTTCTTAAAACAATTTATTCAATTTTTTTTAAAAGTTAACAAGTGAGAAGAACTATGCAAACGGCTGTTGTAAGGCTGGTTTTAATCTCCAATGCATTTCATCTAACTGTGGACTGCTCCAGAGAGTTTAACAAGTTAACACTTAATGCATTGTATCTAGAAGCCGCAGTTAGGGGTTGTTCTCTGGGCTGTTGTCTGGGTCGCTTTTGAACCATTGGGAATTAGGGCTCTACAAATACTGTATACTGTGTGAAGGTGTAGTCTGATCGTCCGGGTGAGTGTAGTCCTGAGAAGGACTGTTGTCGGTGGCAGTGACTGCCACCGACAACAGTCCTTCTCAGGACTACACTCACCCGGACGATCAGACTACACCTTCACATGTTACCCCCGGGTTGAAACCATTTACTGTATACTGTATTAATACTATATCTTATTAACCAAGCGCGAGGGCCATACTGGGAGAATATTGGCCCGAGGTCTTGACAGTACGGACTGAGCGCAGCAAAGTCCATACAAAAAAGACTGAGGGCCGATATTCTTCCAGTACGGTCCCAAGCAAGCTTGGTTAATAAGAGATCTATTATACGACTGAAGTTCAAAGGGACACAAGTGCAGTATCATGATTCCTGACCATTCGGGACAGTGCCTGGTCCAATACTTAGAGAATATTGGACCGGCAATAGAGCATTTTGATTGGTTGATTTTAGTTATTGGCCCTCTGACTGGCCGAGTCCTGTAATAATGTATTATAATAATCTTAATGGCTTGGCTAGATTTACACACAGGAACAGAAAATGTTCTAAGTTTTAAAATCTTTTTCTGACCTTGCCTTAAAATATTTTCACATAATAGCTTATTTCATCGCTGAGTATATATGTGTGTCTAAGTTGTAAGGTAAGTTAATAATTATTAACTTATATTGGGCAGATATCTATGAGACACTTTCATCTGTGTTTAAACAGGTTATTTTTGACACATTTTGCAATTTCACTCCTCTTTCTTTTGATTACACAGAATTAATCATTTGTCTTTCAGTCTCCAGTGTCTTGAGAAATGTATTTTGTCATCAATTGTATGTTTGTACTTACCAGGTGGAATCTATAAACTGGATATTAACATCCCTGAAACATATCCTTTTAACCCACCAAAGGTGAGCTTACTGATGTTACAAATTGTTAGGCTATTGAATATGAAGATCATCTCTTTGTCATAGACTAATATGAGATTCACATTTTTTTTTTAAGGTACAGTTTGTGACAAAGATTTGGCATCCAAACATTAGTTCAGTTACAGGAGTAATATGCCTGGATATTTTAAAAGATCAGTGGTATGAATTGTAACTTATTTCAAAATGGCTTTCAATCAGGAAATTCATAGGTTTCTGAGAGATAATTATCTTTAATTTTACCAAAGCTGCATCCAAAAAAAAAAAAAAAATTCAGTTACAGGAGTAATAATTATGCCTGGATATTTTAAAAGATTAGTGGTATGAATTGTAACTTGTTTCAAAATGGCTCTCAATCAGGAAATTCATAGGTCTCTGAGAGATAATTATCTTTAATTTTACCAAAGCTGCGTCAAAAAAAAAAAAAAAAATTAGTTCAGTTACAGGGGTAATATGCCTGGATATTTTAAAAGATCAGTGGTATGAATTGTAACTTGTTTTAAAATGGCTCTCAATCAGGAAATTCATAAGAGAGAACAAACTATTGGAAAGTTTGGGTGCACTTTTGAACCCTTTTTTTTACTCAGATGGATTTTGATAGAGCAAGAACTATTTGCTGGTAGACCTTCCAATCTCAGATAAAAGCAGTTTCAATGTCAGAAATGTCTTTTTGCCATTCTAAAAATTGAAAGAGATAAGTTTGTTTCATTAACTCTCATCTACCAAACACAAAACTCATTGTCTAAGTGATCATTGATATGGCTGTCCTAAATAAACAGGTTTTAGAGAGCTAGTACAAGTTATTTCTGATCAAGTGGCAAATCATTGACTTTGGTGACATAGCTGATAGATAAAGCCAGTGTAATTACTAAAGCAAGTCGAACATATTATTCTCAGGGCTGCAGCCATGACGCTGCGTACTGTGCTCCTATCAATACAGGTGAGGTAGCTGTTGTTTTCAACCTTTCTATTCATCCAAATATTTTCATTTCACATCATTTTTATTTGAGAGAATTCATGTTTATGCAGACAAGTTCATGACCAAAATACAATGTAAAACACTTGGCTATCTGTTATAGTAAAGAAAAAAGTCCAAGAATCTCACCTGGAAGTTTCATCACTTACCACTCTAAGTGTTCTGATCTTTTCCATTCTTTCCCTTCTACATTAAGAAAACAACAACAACAAAAAAAAAAACTAACAACCAAAAGGGAACACTTGGTACTGAAAAGATGTCTTTTTAAATTCATGTATGAAAGTGGCTCAACTGCAATCACAAACTTGTTGAGACAATTTATCTAAATGTACTCTTATTTTCAAACTTGGCTACTGTATTTTGCTCTTCCTGCCCTTTTTAACCTATGCAGTGTTGTTTTATGCCTCCTTACAAAAGTTTTTTCAGTGTGACATTTTGTTATCTCAGTTCATATGTATGTCAAATTTAAAAAAAATATATGGAAGTCAGCTAAAAAACAACCAGAGGAATGCTTTGTGTTTCACATTCACACAATTCTCTCTTGTAAAAAATGAGGGAAATCCCCACCTTTCAGGTTAAACAGCATTGCATTTGCACAAGAGCAACTCCATCCAAATGATAAAAACTTTTGTTAAGGCCCAAAATTTTTCATAATCATTAAACATGTAGCTGTTTCCATCACTGAAAGAATGGCTCCATTTAGTGAGCACTTTCTTTGGTGTTCAAGGCTCCACCATTGAATGTTTTACAAAGACTTCTTTCATAAATGCCAGGCCTAATTGTCATCCTTTTTTACCCATGTAAATTATACTTAATGGCTTCCACAACAATTATGTTTTAAACAATAAAATTTTCTGTCAAGAACAAGGCCGGGAAAGCTAGAACTGCCAGTCACTTGAAAGAATAATAATAATGCCTGCCATTATATATATCTTATTAACCAAGCGCGAGGGCCGTACTGGGAGAATATCGGCCCGAGGTCTTGACAGTACAGACCGAGTGCAGCGAGGTCCATACATAAAAGACCAAGGGCCGATCTTCTTCCAGTACGGTCCTGAGCAAGCTTAGTTAATAGGAGATTTATTATACAACTGAAGTTCAAGGGGACCCAAGTGCGGTATCATTCTGGACCATTCAGGACAGTGCCCGGTCCAATACTTAGAGAATATTGGACCGGCAATAGAGCATTTTGATTGGTTGATTTTAGTTATTGGCCCTCTGACTGCCCGAGTCGTGTAATAAATGCGGTGTACTGTACATGTGATAAAGTGAGGTTTGTCAATGGTTTTCTTCAGGCCTTACTCTCTGCAGCTGAGCCTGATGACCCCCAAGATGCAGTTGTGGCAAGACAGGTAACAAACAAATAATAAAAATGGTCTCAGTGTGCAATAGTTACGTCACTGAGGTAATGTTAGACATAAAATGTTCCAAACACATGATTTGTGAGCCTAGTATTTGATGTTACAAAGGAGATGTTCTAATCACAATGCCAAAATGTTGAGGACTCCATTTGTCCTTCCCTTTCACATGTCAATTGTTGATATACCTTAAAAAGTAAATTGAAGCTTTCTCTATGCCATTATGGAAGTTTGCAATTGCGTAAACTGTGATATGTAATCGGGAGAAAAAACAAAAACATGTCAAGCAGCTATCATTTTGTGTAATGCTCTGAAAACTATTATGTTTAAGCATTTTACACAAATACGACATATCAATAGTAATTCACATAACCTGAATAATTACCTTGTGTTGAGGCCAGGTTAAGTGCACATGCAAGATTCTTTAAGTTCTGTAGTAATCAGATCAAGTCATCAGAGTTTATTGCATGAATGAAACAAATTTGGTTACAAATTGTTGAGATTAATTTTTCAGATCTTTGTTATTCAATATAGTCTTTGTGATATCAAATCTCTTTGGCCTTAAAAACTGTCTTTTTTTTATAGTTATGGTCGTGACAAGAGCTCATTGAGCATTGGCACCAGTTAATTTTGGTCGACGTCAATGTGTTTGTTTGGTTGGCTCAGGAAGAAATTATACAATAATGTAGATTTATATATATTTTCTGAGACATTTTTTCCAGACTTCATCAAGTGATATGTTATGTTGTTTTACAAGTATAAAGAACATCCTGAAGTGTATTGGAGGACAGCAAAACACTGGGCAGAGGAATATGCTGGAGGTAAGATTCAAATCGAAGTCAGATTTTGAGTACAGATGAGTGCAGTGTTAGGAGACAACAATAATTTTGTGGATCTGAATTTACTTCATTTTAACACTTTACACCTTTAAGGACTTTATGGACTCATGTTTTAAGAAAGTATAAAATACATTTTTATATCATGGCAAATTATTGCTCTCTCTGCACTTCATTTAATATTTCTTCTCTTTGACTTTTGGTCATTCAGCTCCTTCTTCACATAATGTTGATTTTGAACAGAAAATATCACGATTGACTTCAATGGGGTTTACCAAGGTCAGCTTGTTACTACAACTACAGTAATATATACTTTCTTAAATAATATATACATCTTTCCAAAATTAATTGTTATAATTAAGAAATCTTCTCCTGTTTCCTTATGAGACCTCAGTCTTTAGCTCTTATGTTTTTTTCACCCATTGCAGGTCATGTGATAGTAATATAAAAACTGTTCCTTTCCAATTTCCCCTTTTTTTTTTTTCAAGTGCAAATTAAGGTATTGATAATTTACCAGAGATAAAGCTGGGAGTTCCCTTGAGACCTGAAACGGCCAGACAAAAAATTCAAGTCCGAGGGGTCTATTCTGATGGTTTTTTTTTAGCCCATTTGTGTACTATTCAAAATATTTCAAAGAAATTTCAAAAGTAAGGTTTCTTTTTAATTAGTTATTATTTTTCACTCATAGTATCTACTATAACTGGATCAGATTTCAGTCATATAGCATTAGGAGAGCTCGTTCAAGTGAAAATGTGACGTCATTTACTCACCATGTCAACTTTTGAATGTGAGAAATCAGCCAGCATTTTATGCAGAACCAGATTTGCATGCATTAGGAAGTTATGTACCATTCTACACACAAAATTAACAGATGTTTCAATTGATAAGTCATTGTTGCAATTGAAGGGTTAGAAATGGCGTGATGCTAGTGGCTGATGTTAGTATCGGAATTGAGAGAGAATGATTCAGAAATGTCTTTGGATGGAAGTAGCACTTCTAATTTTAATACTGAAAGTGAATCATTGATGCAAATTTGCTTGCCTAAGAAGTGGATTACCAAATGTCACTTTTTTTGGAAAGGTTGGTATTTGATTAAGTTACAAAGGGGCTTTTCCTTGTTTTGGAAGTGAGGATGGCTTTCGACATCTATTTGTCATGGGTAAATAGCAATTCTGTTGTAAGTTCTCTTTAGTTCAATATTCCTTACTATAACATAATTATGATTAAAATAATGCAGGATATGTAGAGAGCCTTATGTTTATGATCAACTTAGTTTGAATAATGTTTTCAGTAGTTTTCATATTTCTGTTTGAGTGAACTTTATAAGAGTTAAAGCACATTTTCTGATTTATGATTATTATTATTATTATTATGATTGTTATTTTTATTCTCTTTTTAAATAGATGCAAAGTCTAGTAGCCTTGTCAACCCATTCCTGGAATTCAGAAAGAGCTGTGGAGTCTTTACTCAGCAGCTGACAGGTGTCCTTGTGCAGCGTTCCTTTCTAGATGTCCTTGTAACAGCAGATATAATAGCAAGAAAGCAAGCTAGTTTGGACAGAGAGCTTCATATTATTTTGTAGACTACTCTAAGAAATGTAACTTTAGGGTTGCATTCCATTGTTTCTTGATTACAGTCCAGGCTAGTCTGCTCCAGAAAATGTACTTTTTTATCACGTTAAAAAAAAAAAATTTTAATTTCAAAAATGTACTTCTTACTACATTTTTAGATCACACAGTTTCCTGACCATTAAAAAATTTCCAGGATATGTGCTAGAAATTTAAATAGATACTACCTTTAAAAAAACAACTTATCGTCCTGGCTGCCACTACCCATATGGTGGATGGTACAAAATTTGACATGTTGCTGGTCTGGTTATCACAAAAACTAGACTTGAAAATATTGTTTGGGAGAGTGATACCTTCATACATTGCTTATAGAAAGATAGATGTAGAAAGTGGTGGTTATGTTGTAGATGAGTAGCTAGGTTTCTAGGCAAGATGCAAAATGGAAGCATCTATAAGTGTATGCAAGCATATCTGGAGACAATTGTTTGAGAGATCAAGTCCTTTGGAAATTATTCTTGTTATAGTACTTCTTACCTGTGAGTTAATAGCAAAGCTGGACATTGACACACACTATGACAACTAGGCAGTAGAAGGGTTAAATTCATGAATTATTTACTTTGGCAAGTGAGGTGAGAGAATGGGAAAGAAAGCATTGTTTTTAAATTTAAAAAAAAGTGAATGCAAACAATTTCAGCCACTTAAAGTAGGATATCATATTTCTGAAAGTTATGAGTAACTTCACAAGTAATTTCCCCTTGCTCTATCAATGCATTAAAGAGGAAATACCTTAAAAGAAGTTATGAGAAGGAAGACACTCACCAGCTGAAGATGTTATCTTATTAGAACACCACAGCCCTTTGTTGATTTTCTAAAAAAAAGTGTGATGGCTGAAAAGGAGAGTTCCAAATCAGATACTTGGAACTGAGTAAAAGTGATAACAAGACAAAAAGTGTAACATTTATGTGTTGGTTAATATTAGAGAAGATGATTAATTCCTGCATCTTAATCACCCTGCTTTTGGTAATGTTTGGTCCACAACGTGGCTGATGAGTTGCTTTTATTTCATTGTGGTATTAATTTAAGGAGACAAACTTGTGTTATTGAGTGTGAAAGAAGTAGTCACAGAAAGGATCTTGGTTTGGGAACTGTTGAAAGTAGCTACATGTCTCCTGAGTGAACTGAACAAAGAGAAGTGAAGTGCTAATAATTATCTTAATTAGGGAATTGTTGAAGGTAGCTCTATTATCTACCCTGGTATCATGTAAGACTAACGGGAGATTTTGTTACAAATTACAAATGAACGTAAGCATAATGATCTGTAGGAGTCTCCCAGAAACAGACACGGACATAGCTCATCAGTGGTTGTGTGTTGCCAACATATTAACTTTTCGGTTATGGCAGGATTTAGATAAATCTATTACCTTTATGAAGAAACAGCAAACTACCCATGGAAAGTAAATTGTCCAATTTGACTCACTTTCCCGACTAGAATGTCAGACGAAAAGTTAGTGTCCAGCCTTTATAAAAAGGAGTTAACATTTAATTACAACTGTATTCCTACCCTGGCACTGTAATCTCTTTAACTTTTACGCAGGCGCTAAGTTTCGTATTAGGTTGTAGAAGTACGATTTTTGTTTTTCCTTGTGTATCTGAGTAAACAATGGTGCTGTCTATATATTGCGTTCTATAACTGAATAAACAGTGGTGCTGTCTATATATTTGAATGTTTGGTGTACTTGTAAAGGTCATTCATTTTTGTCTATGTTGATACTTCTATTTTTGCAGGCCCTTAAAATTTAATATTCAGCCGTGACTGTTAGAACAGGTTGACTCGAATTAAGTTTGTTTGTGGTTTCCGGTTGCAACCCATGTACAAAGACTGTTGTGCACTAAAATCTGATATTTGGAACCACCCAACATTTTCAGACGTGAAGTATGTCCTGGAATTGTTGGGCAACGATTTCTGTAAGCGGCAACAGTAAATCAAGGTCCCTTATCTCGTTGCCTTTCAAATTGTTGGTATGGTCGTGCTGGTGCATCAGGCGGCGTTGTGTATTGTTTATATAATACCCCTTATCTGTGGAACCTGTGTTAAACGGTCACTCCGTCATTCCTCGGTGTCGCTGTTGTTTTAGTTTTGTA